TTATGTTCAGCTGACTCAGATGAACTCATCTAAGAAAATAACATCGAAATGATCCCTCAAGACACATCCTGAAGTTTTGATTCAACAGATCATAGTAGCTTATGCTCCCTTTTCACTGGAGACCAGCAAAGCACATGTTTAATTGCAGCGTTAAATTAGGGGTTTGGCTGTGGCAACTTACATTAGCTAATGAGAAAAAAAAAACCCAGCCGAAAACAGAGGAAATATTTTAATGCTAGCATAAACAGGTATGAATATAAATACAAACAAAATTTACATTTCTTGGTTAAGAAGGCAGCAGCATTTTGCTTTCAGATTAGAACACGGCTTTCAAGGTTCATGCAGAGTGCTTGAAATGGCTTCCTCCACACTGTCCAAGGAATGGATAGGCAGGTCCTCTAGATTTTTCAGTTGCCCATGCCTTTGATCAGGTATTTCTCAAGCAGCTAATGTTTTAAGAGTAAGAATGCTTGAGCATAAGCACACTGAGGAAGCCTGATGTGCAGAGCAAGGGCATTTCTTGCCTTCTGAAATCAAACACTTCCATGTGGTGCTGTGAAGCCAAGCATTCTCGTGCTGTGCTCTGGCAGGCTGGGTCCCACTTTGGAGTCCCTTGAGATGCTCGGTCTCTGTGCCCTCTTGCACTGGCAATACTGGCTCACCTACATTTATCTGACTTAAAATACAAGCTCTTCAGGGCAAGTACCTGGTCTTTTATGTGTTTTGAAAGAGCTGTATATAATTAAGGTACTTTGTATGAAGAAATTACTTCAAAACAGTTTACATAGGGCAGCTATTTCAAGATCAAGGAAAAATCTTTAGCCTTGTTCCCCGAGGAAACAAGGCTTATGTGACTGGACTGGCTGGCTGTCCCTCCTCACTTCCATTCAACACCTTTTGAACTTGTTGGTTGCAGTTTAAACTACATTTGAAAGGGGGAGACGTCTCAATGGTAATTAAGTTCCCATGGACTTTATGGAAATCAGTGGCTGGGAAGAGAAAAATCTAGATCCCCAGTTCAAATAACTAATTTTTCCAGGTTTAATCTTGCAAACTAAAAACTTGACAGCAAGTGTAATAATGACAGTCAGGTTGATAATGTACTCCCAACTACTTTAGAAGACTGACAGCTATTTCCATCCAGTTATTAATATGATGGTTGACACAATAATAAAGTTCCCCTGTTTTGGTGTTCCTTCCAACAAGTTTTTAGCATGATCTGTTCCATCCAACAGTTTTTAGCATGAACATCCTCCTCACACTTGTTATGAATTATCAGAGAAATCAGTATCTTTCCTTATTACCTTGCATTAAGTGTGAAAATTTTGTATTTTTGCTTATTTTAGCTGGCAGTGTTCATTATTGTCATATTGTCCTTTCCCTATAATTAGTTAGTACTGGCAATACATACATAGAATAAGAAATTAGTAATTGGGCTGCATTATTCATGATCTGATAGGGAAATTTATAGTTGGTTTTGTTATCACTAAAGCGTTTTACCTGTCTGAGCTGTGTGAACTTAATGCAGCCCTTAATATTGCTCTTTACTTAATTGTTTTGGTTCTACTGGTTGAAAAAAGTCCTCAAAGGGAGGGGAAAAAGGCATCAACTTTCTCATTTGTAGATTATTTCACTGTCTAATAAAACCTAAACCCCAGCAAAACAAAAACTTGAGCTTAAGGTAATGACCATAGACTTGCCTATTTGAAGGCCACTGGTAGAAGATCACTGTGTGAGGACACAGGTCTTGGTCAGTGCTACAGCTGCTTATCAGTTCAGTGAGTGACACTCGTTAAGAGAGGTAGGCAGATACAAGGGTTCCATGAATTTCTGTTAGATTGCAACTACCTATTGTCAACTCTACCCCTTCCCCAATTTAGACTCCGTGTTTTTAATGTTTTTTGGTATTTTTCATTTGCTTGGGCAAGCCTTGCTGCTCCACGTTCACTGGCATTAAATAGGTTCTATGTGGCTCTCCTGAGCCAAGACTGTGTAGGCTGTTGATTAAGAAAAAATAACTAACTTTACACTTTTCCAGCTGGAGGAGGAGGTGACTCCATAAAAAAGGTCCTTATTTTCTTCAATAGCCAAAGGGCCAGACACACCGCAGGCCGGGCACCCCGGCCAGCTGCAGGCGGGGTGACCTGGTGTCTCCCCCGCCTCCGCGCTGGGCCCTCAGACGCTCCCAAGTGACACTTGCGTGGTCCTTCCTGTTGAAGCTGTTCCACTTCATATAAGTCATTAAGCATTAATTAGAAGAGGACTTGTAGAGCATTCATTAAACATTAAATACTAATTGAGCGCCCGGGGAGAGCGCCGGCACCATTGGGCCACGGAGTCATTCTCACGCCGGCCGGAACGGGGCCGGGGGCAGGCGGGGCAGCCCTGGCCGCCGGCAGCCGTGTCCCCGGCCCGGGGGCGGCCAGGCAGGGCTGGCACAGACGGCAACCAGCCCCGCCCGCTGGTGCGAGGGGGAAGATGCGGGTTCATCTTCCCGCAGGGCTTTGAACCCAGATGTCCCACGGGGCCCGTACCGGCACGCTTCCCGGGCTTGGGGGAAAGCCACGCCTGCTCCCGGCACCTCCGAGGGGCCGGCATCGGGGGGCGCTCCCCTCAGCCATCGTGCCGGACGGGGACGAGCCGGTGCCCCTGCCCTGCGCCGCCCCTCTCCCGGCCCGGGCGCCGGCTCACGCCGGGCAGCCCGCTCTGCAGCTCGCCGGGGCGGCGGCGTGAACCGCCCGCCTCCAACCCTCGGTGCTTCTCCCTCAACATCAAAGGGCGTCGGTTTTGCCCGGGGCGGCGTTTTGCCCTCAATAACAAGGAGGCAGCCGCAGCGCGGGCTGCTGGGGCACCTACGGGGCGCGGCGCCCACTCGCGCCCCGCCGCCCCCTCGCCGGCCTCACCCGTGGCCGGGAGCGCCCGCGCTTCCCGCCGCGGCGGGGCGGTGGCTCGGGGCGGGCTGCGGGGGCGGGCCGAGGCGGAGCGCACAGACAGCCGGCGCCGGGCAGCGCGGGTAGCGGCGGCGTGCGTGGGGCGGCTTCGCGCAGGGGCCGCCGAGCCGAGCCCAGCCGGGTCGGGTGGTGAGTGTCGGGCGCTCGGCGGGGTGGGGAGGTGAGGTGAGGCGAGGATGCGGCGCGGCCGGCGGCGGGTAAAGCCCGCCACGACACCTTCCTCCTGCTTATCCCGTTTTGGGATGGGGGAGGACAGCGGCAGCCTCGGGCGGCTTCACCCTCCTGGTGACGCGCGGAACGGGGGCTGTGACTCCTCCGGTGAGGCGGTGCTGGGCTGGTTCTCTGTATCCTACCTGCAGGGAAGGGATCGGCGGCCGCGGGGCTGCGCGGAGGGTGCGGGGCCTTCAACTCCAGCCTGCCCTGGGCGCTGGGGGGACGCCGGGCACTGAGAGGGGCGGGCGAGCTGGGCGTCTGCAGCACGGAACAAGTTGGAAGCTGCCGAGGCAGGGTCCGTGCGGCCGAGGGAACCCACTCTCCTCGAGAGGTCTGGTGCGCCGGGGTAGAAAGTACTCTCGGTGTTTTGAAATAGACGTCTCAAAACAAGTATTCATCGTACCGGCATGTAAAAAGGGCTAATGTATTAAAATGCAAATATGCATGTGTACTCGGCGATGCTGTTGCGTGTTTCCTGTTTACCATGTTAATTAGAAGTTGTAAGGCAGAACTTCACCAAGAGTAATCCAGGGCAATGTTTGACCCAGTAATGCTCACTGAGTGATGCAGTGGCTTTTATAGTTCTGGGGTTTTTAGCCCAAAATGCAAGCCAAATATTTACTGAACTAATGGGAAATATATGAATTGTAAGACAACTTACACCTTTGAAACTATTCTCTACCAGCACAAGTGTGAAAACTGACTCAGCCAGTATGGAGAGAAAGTTAAACTCCCCACTCTTGTTTTTGTAAGGAAAATTTTGACCATGAAGTTTGACCCCAGTCTTGCAGGTACCAGGATGCTTTTCTGTAACATTTGAGTGATGTTAACTAATTGTGCAAAATTTTGAGATTTGGGATCTATAAAGCTGCCATTATAAGGCAAGATGAGCACACTTGTAAACACATGCAGGCAAAAACATACAGAAGCATCGTGGAGTCCTAATTGTTTTTCAAGGGTTTTGTTGTTCTTGTTCTTTTTTTAAGAGCTAGTATTGTTCAGTAAACTGTTTTATTTCCATTCCTTTTAATTTAGAGGTAGTCCTAGAACAAACAAATGTATTATAGAAACAATTTTGACATTAACCAAATGTTTGTTTGTTTATTTTTGTAGTCCACCTCACACCTTCCAGATTCTCCGAGAGAAGAAAGTAAAAAGAAACCAGTTTTGGAAAGACTTGGAAATTTGTTTGGTACAGGGAAAAGGAAAAATGTCAAAAGTTCATTAGAACACACTTCACGTCACAAGGGTGAGAGGTCAGGTTCTCCTCACGGGGCGCAGGCAGTGTACTGTAGGCACTTCAGAGAAGGACACGAAGCTCCTCAACCAGAGAAACAAGTGAGAAACGTAAGTGCCCTTCCTGAGGCACAGGAATATAATTTCAGTGGGGAAGTAAGACCGCTGTATCACGATACGATTTCGGAATGGAGCAGTAGGGGAGTCTCTTCTGACAGCGAGTGGTCAGCAGATTGGAGCGGCAGCAGTGAAACCATTAAAAACTCTTTCTGTGAGAGCAGCCTGAATGTGGAAACGCTGGGGTTGGAGAAGGAATCCGTCACAGATATAAATAATTCCACAACTCCAGATTTCATACAGAGCTTGAGAAATCTGTCTAGTGAAGACTTAGAAAAGAGTATCTTAAGTCACAAGCAGCTTGTGAACACGTGGGTGTCTGAGGAGCCTGGGCATGCAAAACCAAAGGATTTGCCATACGAGTTGGAATCTGCAGCGAGTGAACACGCGTATTCTGCTAGAGTGTTAACTGTTGATATCTATCTAAGAAAAACAGACGAACTCCTTAATGAACCCGTGACTCTTATATCAGAAGAAAATAGTAGTGATTTGGACACAATGGATAAAAAATCTGCTAGTAAAAGATCTGGAAAACGGAGAAAGTCTCAGTCGTCTAGTGATATTCCAAATGGAGAGAGAAACCAGACTGAGAATACTGCAAGAGAAGAATCTGGTTTTGAGGATGATGCCCATTCTGAGGTGTTTTCAGACAAGATAATAAACCCTGAACGAAAAGTGAGGTCTCTTCAGCAGACTCCTGAAAGAAATTCCTCTTCCTCAGGTAGTAATCAGGACCTAAAATTTGGATCTGCTCACAAAGGGGCATCTAAAGCTGAAGCTGACAAGAGCAAGCAGCAGATCTCAAACACAAGCTCTACAAGGAGAAGATCATATAAAAAGAATCAGTCGGATAGTGTACCCATCTCCCCTACTGGTTTGAAGAGTCAGGTGAAAGATTACTCTTCAAAAAGGCAACCTTTAACATCGCCAGAGACCAACCCAGTGACAAAAAGAACTTCAGTGGAAAAGGGAGCTATACCTGTGGCTTTTGGGGAAGACAGTTTGGAGTCTCCCAAAGCTTCTTTGGCTGCTAAGACAGAAGACTTGGTGTTTGCTGAAGGCAGAAATGATACCAAGGCAGTAAAGAATGGTAATGGTCCAGATGGAAGAGCTTTCTTGCATACTGATGGGATTAAAAATGGAGACCTGTGTCTGTCAGCTGAGAGACAGACAAATTCTGATTTAGACACCTCGAAGCTGAAGAGTTTGGATGCTTCCAGAACAGTCATGACAAAGATTAGCCTGTAAGTAACAAACTAGTTTACCTTATCCTTGTAGCTGTAATTTTGCTTGTGTCTGTGTTTATGGAAACACTAGCTGTCTATCTGTTATCTGTCTAAATTGTTTTCAGTTAAGAACTGTCTTTAAAAAATAAGTTACCATAACTAAAGCTACCACTTAACAAGCACTGTGGTCTACATGTATTAGAAAAAGAATTAATTTTTTGATTTTTTAAATTGATAGGGAATGTCTTTGTCAATTCCACTCTATAGAATAATTTAACATATATAAAAACTGCTCAGTCATCATCATTGTGGATCAGATCAATTCATCTATCATTGACCTTGATTAATTTTTCTCTCTGTAACCAAATCAGAATGTGGTTGAAGATTTTGTATGTGAAAATCTTTTGAATAAGAAATGTATTCAAGTTTTCTATGAAAAAGCCTAAGTTCTGCTATTATTTTATGAAGAAATGTAGGATGCAATATAGAACTTGATTGTTCAAATGATGTGATGGATCACGCTCCAAAGATTTGATTACATACGGTTGCTTCCTTAAGTATGTGCAGGGTGAATCGCTTAAATTTTGATTCATATGAATAACATCAGATATTTGCTGAATATTAGTTTTCAGTTTTTGATTTTACAGTTGAAGAAATAGTCTCTGTCAAACAGGTGGTCAGAGCTTTCCTTAGGATTATAGAGAAGCGGCTGTACTTATGAAGTTCACTGTTATCACTAGTATGAGGCCATTGATTGATTACTTGGATACTGTTGCATTCTCATCTACAGGCAATGATTTGTTTGCATTATTTGTTTCTGTTTTTTGGTTGCCATGGCTGTGTGCTGTTGCACTCCTCGTTCTGGCGTGTTCAGTTGTAGGTGTGGGGGCACTCAGAATCCTGTAGGCCCACCCGAGCTACATTGAGCGTTGATAATTGTCCTTGTGTTAGAGGGATGTGGAGGTTCAACGTGATGGTTTAAGAGACACGTCTGTTTGCAATTATGCTTCCCACATCTGAGAAGCACAGGAGCAATTTCCTTTGCACAATTTGTAATACTCTACATCTGTGTGGTTAATTTGTAACTTAACTTAAGAAAGCCGAGTACTGAAAGTTAAACAGTGGCTTTTCTGTACTGGGTGATGCTTTGCCATCTGGCCCTATAGATCACAAATCTTAAACTCTTGAGTTTGTATCTTCACAGCTTCAAAGGAAAGGCAGCTTTCATACTGTTTTTTTTTTTTTTCTCTGTGTCACTGTCAATAGTGATGATGAAGGATGATGAAGTTATAAACACCTGCATAGCTTGATTTCATTTTTTCTGTGTATCTCCTGGGCTTGCTCTACAGTGTATTATCTTTTACTATACTCATAAAATAATAGATGAGTGTCCTGTATGAAAGACCAAATTTTAACGAATAAACAGCCTGCTCTATTCATCCCATTTTGTGGGGTGTGTGACGCTGTGTCTTGGCCTTATCTGCTGCTATAGGAACTTTAGCCCTGGGTGGGGACTGCAAGGTTTCTGATGCATCTGATAGTTGTCATTGCACAGCACCACACCATTTCTTTAGCCAGAGTTACATGCTCAGGTGATCTGGTATAATTTGTAGTCATTCATTAGAACATATGAACTATAAACCTGGATGTGGATTAAGGTGCTGTAAAATGGGAAAGGAAAAGATGGTGCCTTTACTAGAAGATGGTGTGTTTTATTCTCTAGTTATCACTGTGAACAGATAAATTTTTCATTTTCAAAGGTTAAAAAGTTATTTTCAGATCATTCACATTGATTCCTTTCTGGTTGAAAAATACCCATTTACTTAGGGATTCCTTGGCCCCTTGTAAAATGGATTTTACATAATACAAGTAGTTCTCCCTTAAAAATGCATGATATCTCTTACTAATGACATTGTGCCAATTCTGGGAATCAGATTTCTTTGGAAGCAATTTCAAAACAGGTCAGTTTCTCCAGTCACCTCCAGAAATGCAGATTTCCTGTATATAAAGATAGCATTTTCTCTCTTTTCTCCATTTATGTCTGTGTACCAGATAACTTGAAAGTCAGAGGATACTTTGCTTTTAGCTTTTGAAAGGGAAATCTGTCAGATTTGAGACTAAAATGAGGCTGATGGTAAATCTTAATTGGCAAATAAAACCTCAGGCAGTAGTCACTTTGATGTGCTTAGCGGAAAACTTGGCTTCAGTTGTCATACTTTATGTTCAGACATGGTTTTGTAGTTGCCTTTACATTTAACCCCACTTGTTAAATTATTCTTCTCTTTTCACATGCCATTTTTCTTTGCTCACCTCAATTTGATATTTTGGCATCAGTGGTTTTTTGGCACCACTTGCAAGCTTGATGTGTGACTCACCCTCCATTTTTGACTGCTGGGAGAGGTTTAACTGCTTGCTTCCACAGCTCAGCTGCAAGGTGTAGCCAAAGAGAAGGATATTGGTATTTCTCGTGTGCCTACTTGTTTCTGGCATTGCAGATCAGGAATGGGTAGTGAGAATCAGCCACACTGGACTGTTTGTAAGAAAGCATTTGTGCTGTTAAGTTTTTTCCCCATACAAGATGAGAGGCTTAAAGGATACTCAAACAACATTTCCTTTTAAACAAGCTTGGAGACCCATTTCTTGCAATAAAGTCCATCTTCTGGCTGTATTTAAAACCAGTATTTCATAGTGTGGAAAAAGGTGTAATGAAAAGATTAGAAGAGGCCAGCTGTAGTGAGTGGAGCTGCAGGGCTGAGCTTTCTCATGCTCTTTGGTCTCAGCTCTTTGGCTGCTGCTGCTGCTGTGCAGAAGTACTGCAGAATACAAAATACAAAGTGTTGAAGTGGTTGTTTCTGCATAAATTTGCAAAGCTTGAAACTATACCTTTGAGGGGTGAGCTCTTCATTTAAAAGAGGTTTTAGGTGTGGCTGATAAGCATCACTGTTAGCCATTAAACTTGCTTGTGTCAGGGCATACAGAGAGACACAGATTTTATGGGGAAGATATGTGTTATGTTGAAATAAATGCATGTAGTAGTGCAAGTGACAGGTCACTCTATTGAGCTTTAGCTCTTCCTCCCCTTCCAACTCACTTCTGGTATAAGAGAGATGTTTCCAAATTGGAATGAGTCCAGCAGTGAGCCATTAAAGAAGGTGACAGCTCTGGAGCAAATCAAGTATAAGGAGAAGCTGAAGCAGCTTGGTTTCTTCAGCTGAGAGAAGAGAAGGATACAGACAGACCTCAATCATCTCTCACTACCTATAGAGAAGGCAGAGCCAGATTTGTCCCTGAGCTGTGAAGGGACAAAAGCCACAGCTGCAAGTTGTAGCAGTGAAGTTTTAATGGGATATGAAGCAAAAATAATTCAAAAAGTGGCCACCCTGCTGCAGTGCTTCACTAGGAAGGTTGTGAGATCTTGACCCTTAAAATTATTCAAAACTTGGTCAGGGAAAGCTTTCAGGAACTTGATCTAACTTTGAAGCTGTCCCTGCTTTGAGTAGAAAGTTAGGCTAGCTGATCTTCAGAGGTCCCTTGCAACTCATAGTCATTTTCCAAAGAGAAAAGTTATAGAATAATTTAACTTTTAAAAGTTTAGGGAAAACCAGTTGTAGTTCAAATGAAAAGTAGTGCCGCAATATATTTAATTTTATGCTGTATGATAGTTCCCTTCATACCTTCCCTCTTTCTGGAACATTTTGTTTTTCTGTTTTTCCTTAAATTTTTCCAAGTGTGTTTTATTAGCACCTATCTGAAGTATGGCCAATGGATTTTAAGTTTGCTATTTCCTCTTTTATCGATCATGCATTTTTCATAATTCTTCATAAAGTTGTGAACTAGCTTGAGTAGGCTGGTAGTTAGAGGGACCATTGTTGGGAAGTCTTCTCTGAAATGACATGATGATAAGGACAGGGAACTGTTGCAGCAAATCCAGAGTAGGGCACAAAGTTGATAAGAGGACTAGAGCATCTTCCCTATGGAGGCAGGCTGAAAGAGTTGGGGCTTCACAGGGAAGAGAAGATTGCATGGAGACTCATAAAAACCTTCCAGTATCTGAAGGTAGGGTTTACAGGGTAGCTGAAAAGGGACTCTTTGCCAGGAACTGTAGTGTTAGGACAAGGAGTACTGGGTACAAACGGAGACACAGGACATTTATGCTGGATATTAGGAAGAAACTTTTTACTCTGAGGGTGGTGAGACGCTGCCTGGGGAGGTTGAGGGTGCCCCAATCCTGGCAGTGGTCAAAGCCAGGTTGGAAAAGGCTTTGAGCAACCTGGTCTAATGGGAGGTGTCCCTCCCCATGGCGGGGGAGTTGAGGCTAGATGATCTTTTGTCTGTAGCATCCTCTTAATAGTCTATGATTCTATGATTTTTAACAGTTGCTCTCTGTATAGATTCATGGATAACTATTTCTGAATCCTCCTGTTATTTCAGTAAGTTTGTTCCTCATGGTATTCCCAAGAAATAAAGCTTGTAAAATGGAGAGTCTTGCATTAGAAGGGTTTAATTTCTTACTTGGGATGGATCACTTGAGGAAGAGGGGAATCGATCTCACATTTTGGGTTGTTCCTATATCTCACCCCTCTTTCTTGTGCTAAAGAGCTGCCTGTGAACTTAGTGAACACAGTTTATGTAGGTAAAAAAAGAAGAAAGCATTTAAATACCACAATCATCCATTGATTGATAGAGCATTTGGAATCCTGGAGATTGCTGCAAACTATTTTCTTTTCATCTCCCACCTTTGTCAGTTTTCATGTAGGGCAGTTTCTACCTGTCCTTCTACTGCTGTGTCCCCACATTCCTCTTTGGAGAACAGGGCTGTCTTGGAGGCGATGGTGGGCTCCTTGACACTCCTTGGATCTGACTGATTAATTTTGAAGCTATCTGCCTTGCATCTTCACAGCTGTTCATACTGTACAGTATGCAGTAGCAAGTTACATGGGCAAATAATTTTTCCTGGTTGTAGGTATTCAGAGAAAAGAGCTTGAAACACTCAGCTGTGCCTTCTGCCACAGCACAGGAGTACTGTGTACATGTACTTACTTTTACATGCCTCTCTGTCCACTCTGATAGAAAAGATTTGTGTTTCCAAATTCAATTCTTGTAAAATTATTAGGCTTAGTTTATACAATTTAAATGGTTAGCTAAGTTTACCTGAAGGAAGTGGAAGAGTCCTCACATGTGGTGTTCTCTTAGCCAAGGTGGTGATGCAATGCTTGGGGAAAGCTAACATTTTCTGCAAGCACTCAAGAGAGTGGAAGAGTTTTCACTCAATTTGAGGTTGCTTTTGCAGTGTAGGTGTAAAAGCTGCAAAGAATCTGGGCAGATGTCTTCAAAACTCATTGGAGAAAATATGCAAATGTTAACCAACTCATTATCACCTTAACGAATTGGGATTTGTTTTCTAAACTCTGTAGGGAATTGCATGTTTATAATTTATTCTACCTGTTCACTACTAAATGTTAATGTCTGTCAGTCATAAGTAGTTGAGTTCTCTGCCTCAGCTGCAGATGCTGTAAGTTGGTGTGTTTGTTTTACTAACTTTAAAGAACTAAGTACATGTTTGAAATATATACTCCTTATTTAGTGTCTAATTTTTTAAATCCATATAGTTACTCCTCTTTCAGTTGATTTTGAGATACCAAAATTTGAATTGAGTCTTTGGTTTATAATTCTACTTTTTATTGTTTTGAAAATTGTTACAAGCCTGTTCAAGATTGATTAAAGATGTCACTCTGTGTCACTTTGCCTCCTGTAGTCCAGCCAAACCGAAGAACATAGAGCTGAATTTTAAAACACCTACGACTCAAGACAGTTTAGAAAGTGAGCAGGACACTCTTGAAAAACCAGTTAATAAAACTAACAGCAACATTGCCAACAAAATTTCCTTGTTTGAAAACAAATGTGCTAACCAGAGCCAGAGACCTACTGACATCCCTGCTTCGAAAAATAATGCTGTACCAAGCACATTCGTTGGCAGAGCAAAGCTGAAATTTGGAAAACAACCTAAAGAAAATGAACAGCCTGATAAAACATTGAATAAGCAAAGCAGTCGCCAGAAGTTATTTGAGAATGGCACACTGGAGAAAGAAAGCACTGCAGAGTTAAAAGGCAAAAATGGAGAAATCTTTACCTCTTATGAGGATATTGGGAAGACAACAGAACTTAAAGTAAAAGCTGCCATATCCCTTTTTAACCAAAGCAGCAAAAGTGATGCTGGTAGTGTCTCTCTGAAGCAACCAGAACCAGAATTAACCACAGCAAAGAAAGAAAGCTCACCTTTTAAATTGCCTTTGCACTCACCTGTAAAAACTGAAAATGCTCAAGATCCTTTCCACCAAAGAAATTACACAAGCTCAGAATTCCATAGAAATGAAGAAAAAGTGCTGCCAAACACAGAGGCTTTATCACCGTGCAATGATGATAAATATCCTCTACCATCTCAGGTTTCCAGATCAGAATTTAAGATGGAAAATGGAGATAAAAAGGTAAAGCCAGGAGATTTGAACTTTGCAGCACTGCAGTATGATGACAGCAATCAAGACAGTGTATTGGAATCAGAGCACAACACCAATACACAAAAGAGCCCAGGGAAAACCTGTAATGGATCTGCTGAAGACGACAGCATTTTTGATTCCCCATCTGACATGAAGGAGTTTGCTGAAACAATAAAAAACTTAGACAGCTCAGTTTGTTTACCCCAGAAAAAGAAGAGGTCAAAGCTTCCCAAGTCTCCAGCACCCCACTTTGCAATGCCTCCCATTCATGAAGACAACTTAGAGAAAGTATTTGATCCTAGTGTATTTACTTTTGGTTTGGGACTGAGGAGGGAAAAAACACAGGATCTGTTACCAGCACAACAAATTAAAATGCAGAGCCTGGAAACAATAGCCAGAGTCAGGCCCAAGCGTGCATCAACAGAGCAAAGTATCATATTCAAAGCTCTGCAGTCATGTAGAGAGGAACCTGCCTTTACTCAGGAAACAAATGGAAAAGAGAACATTGATTGTACAGATGGTGATATTAAGAGATCACGGCTTGAAAAAAGCTCCCTCTTCTCAAGCTTACTGTCTTCTAAAGAAAAGTTTTTTAGCTCTTCAGTCACTTCAGTAAATAACACAACAGCTTTTGCAACTGATTCTTCAGGGATGCCTCCTTTACAACAGGATGTTTCTGGGCCATTCATCATGCCTCAAAAATCTGAGGTAATAAAGATCATTCAGGAAATGAAACAATGTTTGTCGACCTGCTGAATGACTGTTAATTTTGATTTTGCAATTCAGTCTCTTTCAGATGTGAAGTTTCCAAGTTTTGTGGAGAAGTACCTGCAAGCAGATAGTGCAAAAAAAGAACTAAGTTTACAAATGCCCAACTATCCTGAGAAAAGCTTTTCGAGCTGGTTAGGAACAAACAGATACGAATCGAATGTCCCTCCTGGTTTATTAGATGTGGATGTAAGTATTGTGTTTTTAAAAAGCTGCCTGCAAAGTTATCCAGCTTTTATGTTTTTGATGGACAATGTGCATGTCTTGTTTTGTTTCCCCTCTTTGGGATATATATAGATTACAAATACATTGAGGTGAACTTAGGTATGGTACCAGTTTTATCTGAAATTGAAAATGAGATTACATCTATCAGTATGATTAAGGGCTCTTTATTTTGAGACTTTTTGCAAATATGCATGGAAGTATTTTTTGAATATGTCTTCATACTTGATTTTGTATTATATTGAAACAAATCTTATGCTAACTTTAGTTTTTTATTGCAAATTAGTAGAATGCTTTGTGTGAACTTCAGAAAACTTCTGTTGAAGTAATCTCTCTTCTCTTCCAACAAGACATTCAGCCATTGTACAGTTAAATAAGTAACAGAGCAAATTTTTTATTTTAGTCCTCTGTTGTATTCCCATGTATTGGCAGAAAAATATATATGTTCTTTTAAGAATTCTGTAATAACTGGATAGCAGTGATTATTGAAAGTGCTGCTACAGTGCAGGGCTGTCCCTTGCTCTGATTACAAGCATCCCATCTTCATGACTGAAGACAGACCTATGTTTTCCCCTCTGAGCAACTTTAATATGGAATATATTTGTAATTTCTGTTTTTAAAATGATGAACCAGTGACTTGTAGTGTGTACATACCTAAGACTGCACTTGAGAGAATACCTTTAGGCTTCAAAGGGTTTCTGGATTTCTGTGGCAGTGAATTGTTTTGCTCAGGTTAGGAATCAAAAATGTTTCTGTGAGGAGTACCTGCTGTGCATCTTCCACTGAATAAGAAAATGATGATGCAATGGCTAGTGGGTAATGTGAAGGAAAGAGTAAGGGCAGCCCAAAACAATGACTTTGGCATTCCTCAAAACACAGAACAAGTTTTAACTGGAATTGAAGCGCAGGCTAAAAAACCAGTCGTGCTTCAACGTGTCTTGATGATGCCTACAAAAATCTGGTGGTGGTTAAGGACTGTCCTGGGACCACTGCCTGCTCTGCTTATTAACTAATGTGCTCTCGTTAATTCCTTGCACATGTTGCCGGTTACCTGTTCAGGGGCAGGATCTGTTTTTGTCTTTTCGTTTTTGTGAATCATTCCTAGAAGAACAGGACCCTGTCCCAGAATGAACACTCCTGTTCTTCCTAGGAAACCAAACACATCATTTCAATGCTTGCTTTATTTGTTTGAAAGTGACGTGATGCAGCCACAACTTTCCCATATATTCTATATAATGCAATTTACTGCTGACTTCAACATTGTTTTAGATTTTGTATACCTCCATGTGTTTAGTTGTTTTGAATATTTTTAGTTCATCACTTAGTGCTCAGTCTCATGCTCTTTGAGGAAACCTGTTACAAAATTGTTATGCTAGTTAGCTCTTACATGTATGTGGCATCATGCATCCTCAGTATTTTCATATATTTCTTAAAAATACACCATGCTTTATGGCTTGACATTTTTAGACGTTTAAACTCATCTTTATTATTGTACAGCTTGTACTTCATCAGTGGCAGTTTTTACAGTAGTCTCTTGGTATTGAAATCCTGGACTATACAGGAAGATGATCAGGATGATTTATCAGGATGATTTTAATGCATTTCAGATCTGAGGTTAGTTGACTTCAGAGTTTAAAAAAAGTGTATAAATTTATACATTTGTGACAAGATGCTGTTCTGCAAGGGGAAGTAGAGATTGAAGTGATGAGTAGGTATAGTTAAAGGGTTACCAACTTTTACTATTCAGAGTATTTCTTATTTTGTTCTACTAGCCCTTTTTTTTATAGCTGAGTATCTTTATTGAACATGTTTTTGATTTTGTGAGGGTTTTTTGTGATTTTTTTTCTCTTCTCACTCTCTGTTAGACACTTCCAAGAAATGGACAAAGTAAAATCAATCCCAGACCTGGCAAGGTAAGATCAGTTTTAATAGTTTTAGTGTTCCTTTCTATATTTAAAGCTTAGGAAGATAGAACTATATGTTACTGTTGTGTTTTTCTGTTTTGTTGGGTTTTTTTAACACAGCTGATGATATACTGTGACTCAGACTGTCAAAAAGCTGGCATTGAAGTTTTCCATGATGTTCCAGATTGCAGTTCTTGGGTTCTGTCACCAACCATTTTAGTTAAAGTCATCAGAGGATGGTAAGAGATAAATTTTTACTTTCTATGCAAAGATTTTTACTCTGTTCAAAAATGTTTTGAAACAGAACCATGGCATGTGATTCATAGTAAGTCTGCCTTGTAACAATGTAGAGCTGTGAGCAAGAAATAGGGCATTTCACCTCTGCAACAGGAAGGTCTGAGCTGGAAAATCTATTTTGCTGACTAATGGAGTGAGTGTTACCATCTGGCAGGGTGCGAGATGTCACCAGGCATAGGTGTGGGATGAAATGACAGATTCTGTTCAGCTCTTTTGCCCTTCAACTCTTCTGGTCATTAGGGATTCTTGCATAGTGTTTGGATTGGGCTAAAAGGCTAGCAAATAAGTTTAAAGCTAGGTCTTACATAATTATTCAATGACCAAAGGAGTAGGATGGTGCTGTAGAGATAATTGACTGTTTCTCTGACAAAAGGAGGGATTTTGCTCTAAAAGCTATATTGCCCAAGAGTAATTGAAGGCAAGTTCATCTCCTGCTTTCTTCATAGCATCAACAGATGGGCCATTAGTAGTGTGGCTAGCACAGCAAGTTATGCTGTGGCCAGGCTATAATGCAGTCAAATAGCAGGTTCTCAAAAGTAATTATCTGATAGTAAGGTGCAGACACAAGGGCTAGCCACAGTAGGAGGTACTGGGAAGCAAACTGATTGCTGTTTAGCTTCAGAAAACTGGAACAAAAACCTTTTGATCTCTGTAAACCAGGTTGTCTCTTCTAACGTGGTCTAGAGAGACTGGGTTTGGAGTTTTTTCCTCCTTCCACTGAGAGCCTGAGTGAAGGGTTTGTATTTGCAGATGGATAAAGTTCTTACTTAGTTGTATATTCTGTTCTGCCATTAAAAATGGAGTTGTGCTTGTCTTCTGAACAGTCTTATCATCCTCTGGCACATCTACCCCAGTTCTTGTGGAACTCCAGGCTGTTGTTCACAGGATCCAAGCAACTTGTCTGTTTATACATGATGCAGCAGTCTGCAGTGTCATTGTTTTCTCTGATGTACAAATTGGTTCTGATTAGTATCTCATACGAGGTCTGGTACAGAGACCGTAGTCTTTGCTGCCCCAAATTATCAATTTTAAAAGGTGGAGGAGCTTTTTGTGAAAGTGCAGTTCAGTAGTAGACATCTTTGTTTGTATCATTGTTTTTAAAGGTATCACAGAGAGACTGAAAATGGCTTGCATCAGCAGTGTTGGGTGAATAAGCTGTATTGGGGAAATGGCAAGGGTTTGGAAGCAGTACTGTGTATGGAACAATTTGTTAAGTGGGATCATGATTTTTGCAAATCACACTTGATAAAGCACCATGAAAAATTAGATTTTTTAAAATTTATTTTAAGCTGGATACTCTATGAAAAACCAAATTTTGAAGGCCCCTCTATTCCATTGGAAGAAGGAGAGCTGGAACTCACAGATATTTGGGGTGCAGGTGCTTCTGAAGAGCAAAATGACTGCAAGTCTCAAAAGCCTGCAGTGATCGGTTCAATAAGACATGTTGTTAAGGCAAGTAATACAAGTCAAAAATTTTTTCATAGATCTTAATGTATAGTGATGTTTTATACTGATAGAGGGTGTGATTGGTCTATTGGGACACAAGTGTAACACGAGCTACAAGTGCATGAAACAATATTCTATGTTGAATTTCATGTTTAATCACAAAATGCATGTGGGGTCTTTTGCCCAGTGGGGGTTGTGGTAACATCAAGAGGAAGGACAGGGTAGGAACAGAACTTGTTGGGCTTTATTAGAATAGCCACCAAAATGCTACATACAGCATATGCTTTGTAGTCTGGTCAGTGTCAGGAAAAGCATCCCAGAAAACCGTCAATAATTGGGTATTTTCAACATATGAGCTTTTTCTTTTTTTCCAATGCAAACCAAATTTGCACTCAATACAGACTTCAATGTGAAACACCAAACTTTGGTTTGCCTGGTATGGGCAAGCTTACCAGTGAGTTTCACCTGTGATGGAACATCCTTTCTACATGCACTTTTAACCTACCATCAAGTAGTTACAATTGCAGGTTGCCAAAACAAGCACAAGCTATAAAGTTATTTGACTAGGAAAGGAAAAAGGAGGAATATATATTGTAACTACAATTCTTGTTTAAGTTGCAGTTCTCTTCAAGGATGGCTTGTTTGGTGTTATCTTAGGATTTAATTTGCTAGAGGAGATGTTAACTGATGAAAGAAGATGCATTCCTGCCTAGATGGCAGAAAGTAAACAACGTAAATGCTGATTAGAGATGGACTGACTGTCTTGGTTCAGACAGGCAAACTGGCTTAGCTATACTTTTATTATAGGCATCTAATAGCAGTAGTAATTGACAAGGGGGGGAAACAATTTCAAATAAACAGGTGTTTCAAAACTGATTTAGTTATGCACAGTAATTACAGAACTCACAGCACAGATCAAGTGATTATGGCAATCTTCATTTTTCAGGATTACAGGGTTTGCCGAATTGATTTGTATACAGAGCCTGAAGGGTTAGGAATCGTGACTTCCTTTTTTGATGACACTGAAGAAGCAGGGGTGTTTGGAACCACTCAGAAGACTTGTTCTATTAAAGTGCATTGGGGCATGTAAGTATGCAGCTCTGCATGAGTGTGTAGTGTGATGAGAGGAATTTGGTTTAAACCATTGGTTACACCTGTCAGACTCGCGAGCAGGCTATATTTATTTCTAGTCCTATATTTTGGCAGTATATTTGTTGACAGTAGTGTTAGTACATCACTGTAATGCTTCACTCTTGGGGAGTCTGACCTAGAATGTTTTGTTAGAGCTAGATTTTCTTCTGCTTGTGTAGTAAATACTGAATAACCCTTGTGTATTTGTAGCCAAGGAATAAGAGTGTGCCTCTCTTGCTTTTTCTCATTCAGGAAAGCTTATCATAAATGAGGGTGGGGAATTAACTGTTATAATAAGACCATATTTCCCACTCGCTTTCTTCTAAACTTGAAATCATCCTACTAAAAGAAGAAAATTTTTGAAGTCCTTCTGTTATAAACTAAGACTTAGTGCTTTAGAGAGTCCATACATGGCATTGTTGTATTTCACAGTGCATTTTGATCTGGGCTTTTGTGGTGATGTGTAATACAAAGGTGTTATGTCACCTGAAAATAATCTGGCCATCTGAATTAGGAGGATAACATTGTGAACTAAGCAAGCTTTTATGAGAACGGAGACTTCTAAGGAGCAATCCAGATGCTGTTCCAGTATTAGTTTTCATGCCTTAATAAACTAGTAAATCATTATAGAAAACGTGCTTCAAAGTAGTGTTGGGAAAAGTATGCAGAAGAGAGAGAGAGAGGCTCCTTTCAGAAAAAGTGAGACTGGAGCCACTTCCAGTCATCCTGCAGAACTTCTTACAGGATGTGCAGACCTTGGTTGTTAGCTCTTATGTTTGGGCACTGATAGCACTTGCCTTACTGCAAATAGTCTATCAAAAACTGCCCAGCTGAAGGCAGGTGTTACATATCCATTTTACAAAAAAATACGTAAAGCAAAGCTGTTTCAAATCTACCACATGATATACAGACATTTTTGTTGTTAGGCAAAGGGTATTTTATCTGAGTAAATATTTACACCTTGATTTGTGGAAAAAAAAAATGAAGCATTTTGGTATGTAGGCAAATTTGAAGATGTCCAAGTAGTTGGTTCTCTGACAGGAAGTTATTTCTGGTGAACTGCAACCTCAATCCAAATTACATATCTCGCAATAGTAATGTCATCAGATATGTTATTTGCAGGCTGATTGTTAATTCACTTCATCTATGTCTCCACTTTATTTCTGTCTCACTTAAAAGCTATCTGTGACCAGTAAATTTACAAATCTTTTTGGAAGGAGGTAGAGCCTGTGCACATCTGAGTTGTCTTTATTTTGCGTTAGTGTAACAGCATTGTTTTGCTAAATGCATGTGAGCTCTTGCTGTCTTGATATCTCTTTCTTGCATCTGTACCCCTGAAGGAAAACAGACTAATATTTTCTCTAGGAAGTGGAATATATTATTTTTCAACTGTCTTTCTGGATATCTGTTTATTAGTCCAGTGTAGAAAGAAGTTGCTTCCATGAGAAATTTTGCAGATGGCTGCTGCTTTTTTGCATGTTGCAGGGTTAGGGGTTTTTTTGCCTTTAGTTTACAGGCATGACATAGTTCACTGTGTTGGCAGGTGAGGGAGGCTCTGATTCTGAGTCACCTTGCCATGTGGGTGTGGTTGTATCATCTTAAAGTTTCCCAGTGTTCATGCTTAATTGCTGTTTGTTAAAAGCTGCCAACAAAAATGAGTCAATGCACCTTTATCTTCTGACTGTACTCTCTCCTTGTTCTTCCATGTGTGTCAGTTCTTGCAGTGAAGTTAGTCATAGAATCCTGTAGGATGGGAATCCAGTACCACCATTAACCCAACACTGCCAAGTCCACCACTAAACCATGTCCCTAAGCACAACTACTGCACATCTTTTAAATACCTACGGGGATTGTGACTCCACCACTCTCCTGAGCAGCCTGTTACAGTGATTGACAACTCTTCCATTGAATTATTTTTTCCTAATATCCAGTCTAAACCTCCACAGGTGCAGCTTGAGGCCACTTCCTCTTGTCCAGTCACTATCTGCCTACTGCCTCCTTTCAAGGCAGTTGGAAAGAGCAATGAGGTTTCCCTAGAGTGTCATTATTTCCAGGCTGAGCGCCTCCAGCTCCCTCAACCACTCTTATTAGACTCGTGCTCCAGTCCTTTCACAAGCTCTAATGTCCCCTTCTAGACATGATCCAGCTCCTCAATGTCCTTGGTGTAGTGAGGGCAAAACTGATCCTGAAACACAGGATTTGAGGTGTGGCATCACCAGTGTTGAGTACAGAGGGACAGTCACTGCCTTGGTCCTGCTGGCCACGCTGTTGCTGATGCAGGCCAGGATGCCATTGGCCTTCTTGGCCACCTGGGCACACGCTGGATCAAGTATAACTGCTGTTGACCAGCACCCCTAGATCTTTTCCTGCCAAGCAGCTTTGTATCCACTTTTCCCCAGTCCTGAAGCACTGCTTGGGAATGTTGTGACCTGGCACTTTCCCATGTTGAACCTCATCCCATTGGCCTTGGCCCATTGATCCAGATCCCCCTGTAAAGTTTTCTTACCCTTCAGCAGATCACCCAACTTCTTGTCATCTGCAAAACAGCTGAGGAAGCACTCTAACCCCCTCATCCAAATCATTAATATTAAGGTATTAAACAGAATTTACCCATACTGAGCCCTTGGAAATACCACATGTGACCAGCCACAAGCCAAGGGCTTACTGAGTGGTGTGAATATGGGGCACACAATGTATCAAATGTTCAGCTATAGACAGTAATAAAACTAAAGCACCTTGCTTGTTTCTTGGAGTCATGTGTCTGCAATGAAACTACACCAATTTGAGCCAGCTTATATTAGCTTGGAATCTCCCTTTAAAGGGAACAATGATCTTGTTCCTAAAGTAAGCATATTGTCTTGTTCTTTACTGTTCAGAAATGTTCTGGGGGTTTTATGTCTTACTTTTGTCCCTCCACCCCTCTACTTTTAGATGGCTTCTTTATGAAGAACCTGGTTTCCAGGGGGTCCCTTTAATGTTGGAGCCTGGTGAATATCCTAATTTATTATTTTGGGAGAAGAAGGAAGCCTACATTAGGTCCATGAGACCCTTGAAAATGGTAAACTACTACTATTACTTAGAAGTTAAATGACCTATGTTTATGTGTTAGAAATAATGTATTAAGGTGGTTAGATTTTTAAAGACTTACAAAACTAAAACTAACTCTTTTTAAAAAACTAAGATTTTTAGTCTATAAAATTCTTGAACTTACAACATTTGATTGCATGCATCTCTGCCATTAATCTGCCATTTATTTTCACTTGCACTCTTTAAGGACTATTTCACCTTAGTCCTGACTTTTTGTAAAGAATTGATGACTCTTACAGACATCTACAAGTTGTCTAAGTCATGAACAGTTTAATTTTTTCTTCTTTGTTTCTTCTTTTAACAGGGTGGTCGCAAAGTTGAATTCAGTGGGGAGCCAAAGGTAAAAGTCAGTATTATATGTTGATTGTCCAAAGCTGTTTTACAGCACATGAACTACATGTGGGTAGATAAGTATGCTTTGATTGGATACCAGCCACTGATGCTTTACTGGGTAGTTCTTTTGTATGTGACCACACCGTCAAAATACAACTTCTGTTACATTTCTGCATCCATCACATGCATATGTAACAGAATTAACAGGAATCCAGATGATGCAGATGGGTAATGAATGCTCAAGCCCTCACATTGCATCTCTAGTGGAAGGTCTCTTATAGAGGAGAGAGAGATCCCACTAGTTGGTTTCATCATATTGCATTCTCTCTCTGTGTGCCCATGCAAAAGAAACTGTCTGTTGCCAGAATTCATCATCCTCCCTGCAATTTGTATTTTGCTTCATTTCTACTCCAGGTAATTGTTTATGAGAAGCCTTTCTTTGAAGGAAGACATGTGGAAATAGAATCAGAGGTCTTTATGCTTGATGACAAGGAATCAGAAGACAAGACAAGACTTCCACTTACATCTGTGGGATCCATGAAAGTACTGGGAGGCGTGTAAGTGTGGAAAAGTGGTATTTACCCTTCAGCTGAAGTAGTAACTCCATAGGCTGGAAGTTGCAGTGGACAAATCCAGTCCCTGTTTATTTTGTTTTTTGTGATTTTTGGGTTGAGGTGTACACTGGGGTTAAATTTGAAAATATTCATCGCAAAAGAATAAATATTGCATATCTACATCTGCTCCGTGAAAACATGGAGTGGCACTTGTCCTTTTCACATGCTGACTCTGTTGTTGTTGTTGTTGTTGCTCAGTTGGGTTGCTTACGAGAAGCCTGGGTTTGAAGGCCATCAGTACCTGCTGGAAGAAGGAGCGTATCGGGATTGGACAGACTGGGGGGGCTATGATGAGGAGGTGCAGTCCCTGCGACCAATTGTTGGTGTAAGTTCCAAGAACACCTAGTAGGCGTCTCCTGAGTGCTCTGAGATGTCATGTGGCACTTTGCTTATGGTGCTTCTCTTTGTTTTTACAGGACTTCACAAGCTCCCATATGATAATGTACAGTGAAAAAGACTTTGGATCAAAGGGTTCCAATATCAATGTGTTAGGTATCATTTCCAATTTGAAAGATACTGGATATGGGCTGAGGACACAGTCTATAAATGTGCTAAGTGGCGTGTAAGTGATATTTTTATTTTCATTTTAGATATGCTGGTCTTTATAGAAATTGTTGGTGTTTGCAGATGTTTTTCAGGACTCTGACTTCTGTGTGGAGTCTTCAGATAAAATTCTCTGCCCTTGACCGTAGAACGTGAAAAGTAAAGTTTTGGTGAATATGTACAGTAAATAGTCTTTCTTCTTACAATAAGATAAGAGAGTCCCAGGAAGCATTGATGTTCTGATACATATAAGAGTATGAAAGCATGAGATGAGATTTCATCAAGAGAGGAAGAAATAGGTTCTCATGGCTACATTTGTTCGAAGCATTTCAGCAGTGAAATTGTTGTGGAAATAATTTCCAGTTTTGAAACTAATTTCCAGGCTCCTTGCATTTGACCAAAGGTAGATTCCTTGCTCTTTTCACTTGTGTTTTAAATAGAGACTAATACCTTCTGGTAATAGGGAGAGTAAACTCAGAGTCAATTCTGAAAAATGACATTGCTTTTGCAGTGAATCCTGTAGGTTTAACAGTGGTTTAGTGCTGTGCTGTTGGTTTTTATTGTTTGTTTGGGATTTTGTTAAACATATGGTTCCCAAAAGTCTGTATTAGCCATGGCCATTAACAAACCACCTCTTAGTGCCACAAGTACTATCACATGAAGTTGATCAGCTGATAGACTTTGCTGTTTGATTAGTCGAGTCCATCAACTGCAGATTGAGTTTCACAGCCTTGCAGATTGTATCAAAGTATTTTGGAAATGCTGACAAGTATTAGCAATGATGGCTGCAAACACACAAAATTAACTAAAGTACCAAAACCAAAAAAGCATGAGATGTACAGTCTGTCTCCCTGCCTGATATGCATGCAGGTGACTTGCTGGAAGCTCTTGCTGTGCCTTACCTAGCCACACCCAAAATCTTTCCCTGTGTTATCTGTGCTGTATCTCTGCAAGTTTTGTCTGGATAAAGGTTGCAGAATCAAGCTTGGTGGATTCCAGAGGAATGCTTTTAATTTCTATATGAATATGGTGTGACAGAAGGTTTTTTCCTGCCTGGTGACCTTTGAAGCCACTGTGCTCTTTTGTCTTCTGTAATATGCAAGAGACATTCCTGGGAAAGAGTCTTCTCTGAAGGCTGGGAAACAAATTGTGGGTTACCTATCATGCCCTTCATGTAGTTGTTGTAGTAAACGTGTCTGTTGCATCTGAGATAGGAATCATTCATGAGTTTGAGTATTCTAGTAATTAAGAGTGACTTTAACACTGATGGCAAAAGTGGATGGAAGTCTTTATGAACAAAGCTTGTACTACAGATTCTGCTACCACTCCTGTAATCTCACCTTGTAGACTCCAAAAGATGTAATTTGTAGCAATAAGCTTTTAAAAAACTCAGGTGCGTTGTTCATAACAGGTGGCTAGCACTCAGCTGTTAAGAGTCTTGTACAGCCCCCTGGTCCCAGAGAGGTTGTGAGTGTTTGGGGGTTTTGTGGTGATCTTACTAAATGTTTAAGTGTCAGAAAGCTTGAATGATCTGTGTGAAGTCATGTTTGGCAATACAGTGCTTTATTTTAAGTGTTAATCGTCTGTTCAGGTAGAAGATTTTTTTATATCTTTCCTTCCAAGAAATCTGTCACAGAGCGATGAATAATCCATTGAGCAATTTCCTGAGCTGTTTAGGATGTAATGCAGATGATGACATAGTGAACTGTGACAGATTCAATAAAAGCTTGTCATAATATTTTGAAGTAACCTTCCTGGTATTATATTGAAAACACTTAATTAAAATAAGTAAAAAATTTAAGAAGCCCTCAACCTTTCATTTCAATTTTTTAACTGCAGGTATCTGGGGTAAGCAGTTAGAGCAGTAAGATAACAGATGATGTGTATTTCCCACAAAATTAATTTGATTGCTCTGTAATTTAGAGGGTATATCAAAGAAAAGAAAGCCTGACACTGCAGTGCAGAGATACTATGGAACAAGTTCTGAGCTCAACTGCAGCTCTGAACTGTATTGCTGGAGACAGCCCAGTTCTGCATTCGGGGGGTGACTATTCAATTTTGGGGTAATTCAGCACTGGCTGCATTAAAATTTCTAAATTTCTAAATGTTTCCAAGCAATATTTTCATGTCTTTGCTAAATCCATTGTAAAGACATCCTGAAAAATATATCCTGAGGAGATGAGGATTGACTTCTTGAAAAAGTAAAATGTACTTCCTTAAAAATGAAAATGTCTTGCTCTTGAGCATTTTTTGGAGACTGGCCAAACATAAAATTCAAAAATTATTTTTCTGCCATTAGGGTGGGTGAAAGCAATCCAGGCTGCCCGAAAATAGGAGGGGCCTTTCTTCTTTTAAGTAGGGTTTGAACTTTCTGTCCAAACTGACAGAATTTGAAGTGCCGGAAAATTGAGCTATTTACTAGCAACAGGTAACACCCTTTACAAGTTCAAGCAAGTACTAAATTCAAGTGTACTATTTTGATTTCCCCTCTGCTTAGAAACTTCTTCAAACTTTTATTTAATAGTGATCAAAATCACAGGAACTGCATGTTTGAAATGTGCCTTTTCTTTATCCATAAACACACCAAACGTTTGCCAGAACTCCTGGAGAGGCTCTTGTCTTTTAGTTGATTTTCTTTGAACTTGCTGGATGAATCTTCCCGGATTTGTTTATTTCATGTAGTCATCTGTTTACTGTGGTCGTGTTATCAGCCTGGTTTCCCCCTAGTTTTTAAGTAATTGATCCACAGTGTAGATTGGGCTGCTTCTAGAGTATGTACGGACAGTGAGTGATATTAAGGAAATAATTAGGTAATGAGTGGTTCACATACAGAAACCAGAAGGTAGTAAATTTCACCTAGATGCACTCAGGAAGGGAACATGAGTGAAACTGGAGACACAAGGTACAAGAACAAGCCTCCACTGGGAGCTGAAAAGGGCAAGTACCCTTGGTTCCTCCACTGGAGAACACTTCAAACAAAGCTTTAACTTCGCTGTATAGCTGAACTGATGTTCAGGAAAAAATCTTTCAAGGAATCATAAAATTAAAGCTTGCAGGTCCCTGGGATACTAAGAATCACAGTCACAAAGGAGTATGATGAACCCGTTTTCTCTCTTTCCTATAAACAGGATTTTATTACCTCACTCTATCTGTTAATTATTGTACAAATCTGTAAGTGCTAGTTAACTTTCTGACCTCCCTCATAAAGTCAGACAAGGTGAGTCCTGGGCTAACTGAGGGCAAATCTGATTTTTGGTGAGTTACCCATGTCTGGATTATTTTCTTGGCTGTACTTTCAGACCCTGTTTGGAGCTGCACTTCCTAGATGTCATACATAGAGGTTTTTAGAGAAAGATTCTCTGTGTGTAATAGTACTAACAATGTATAATCAAAGCTTTATGCTACTTCTGGCTTCAGGGGTATGGATGGTGCCCAGGAGGAAAGGTCTCCAGCACCCTCCTGCCAGCAGCCTGGGATGGAGCTGTTGCTCAGCCTCACTAAGGCACTTCATGCATCTGGGGGTTACAAAATCTCTTGTGCTAGGAGAGCTCGCTCCCTGTGGGGCAGGATGGTTGCTGCCATGCTGCAGAGCAGCACTTCAGTTTTTGTTGTGCCTGGCAGCTGGAATCTGGCTCTCTTGCTCAGCTGTGGGGACAGTATCTTGCTCTCCAGGCCTTTCTGTGAAGTCAGAAGTTGGATTAAGGCAATGCTCCTGCCTAGGGATAATCTTGAGGTCTGGCAGGTTTAGCTGGTACTGAATTCAGCTGGCTGTCCTTGATGATGTTATTACTACTTTCAGCAGCTTATATGGGCTTCTGAATGAAGTGGAGAAGCATAAGTATTTCACCACTAAGCCCTGACTCTAGGAACTGTCTAACTGCATGGGCTGACTTGCATAGAAGAGTGGCACTTAATTATTTAAATCCCATTTATTTAAATGTAAGCATGTGCGAATGAGATTTGTTGATTACTTCTGCATTCAGGCTTGCTTTTAGGTGGGGGGAACTAAATAAGTGCTGTCAAGGAGTTCTTAGGAGGCTGCTGACATCTTACAGTTGATTTTATATCAGAAACACTTGTTTGCATAGATCTCAATTGAGTAAAACTTCCATGCACCATAGCTGTATCCTGGCACTTGAGCACTGAAAAATCTAATGAATGGCTGCTGAAGAAATTGTTTAAGGAAACCTCATTTTCACTGCTTTTGGTATATGTGATATACAAGTATAGACACACCTGAGACATTTGAACTCTCTGCTCAATTTATTGTACATACCAGTGTCTCTTTGATGAATTACTCTGAGGTGATTTTGAAATGGACCTTGAAATATGCCGTAAGTAATTAGTGTGTAACAAGTTGGAATAATTGATTATATCTGAGGCAAACCAAGAGACGTGAATAGTGATGTGTGTGAATCACTATTTGAATGCTTGCCATGGACAAGTAAAACAAAGTTCATACTCTTGGCGCATACATGTTGATGCACCTTTATTTCAGTTTGAGGTTATCCCACTTCTTGTATCTGCAGAGACTCTGGCATTTGTATCTGGAATAAAACTGCAGCTTAGTTGAATCCAATTGATTGACACACAGAAATTAATGGGGAATTTTGATGTTGAGAGTTATCTTCCCCTGCAGATTTTAAGATCTGTATCATTTTACTACTTTGTGATATGAAATTTTTGTTAATGTAGAAACTCAGTAAGTTTCTGAGCCCAGTGAAAGTGGATTTTGGCATAACCTAGCATATACTCATTATGCACTACAGTGGCTAAAATTAAAAGCAGGTTGATTCTGAGTAGAAGTTTTTCTTGTAGAATCAGGAACTAGCAAGATGTCCTGATTCCTGCATAACTATAATGAACGAAACGCAGCTGCTACTGTGGTCTGATCTCATATGGGCACTAAAAAACAACCAGAGTTGTAAGTATGGGAAAGTTTGGGAAGTACAGCAGCAAAAGACAAGTAAGTTCTGCAGGTTATCACAAAATCAGAGGTAGTATAGATGCAGGAAGTGCTCTGTTTGAGTTTTCAGTATGGAACCAGGGTCAGAAGAACACGGTAATAGAAGATTTATTGAATGTAGTATACTATTCTTAGCAAGACTAACTGATAGCAGATATTTAAGATTGGACCTAAAGACCGCATGAGTAATTGGGCATCAGAGAGATCTATGCAGTGTTTTTGTTGCTTTTCCAATACTTCAAGTGTGTATCATGTCAAAAGTTGAAAGTCTTTCAAAAAGACATGTTCAGTCTGAGACAGAAGACTGGATGCAGATCTCTGAGTTTGTGGCCTGTGTCAAGCATGAGATCCACCTGAATAGTTACAATAACAGCTTTGCATTTAAATACATGGATCTGGTTATATTTGTGGTGGTTTTAGTGCTTAGTTTTCAAGGACATTCTTCTTGCTCTCTCTGATTCCTACCAGGGAACAGTCTCCTCTGCTTAGCATATATGCCTGTTGTTGCAGCTCAGCATCCTGTTGGGGTGTGTATTTGCTTAAACACGACTGAGCCGTAGCTACAGGCAACATTAAAAGTCAGTATTGCTACATTGCTACATTTACTCCTCAGATTACTCTGAAAGTTAGTTTTGTTGAAAAAGCTGTATTCTGATATCTGTCTGGTGGTTTTGGCTTGGTTTTTTTGGTTGTGGTTTTGGGGTGGTTTTTTTTGTTGTTTTTGTTTTTTTTTTTTTTTTTTGTTTTTTGTTTTTTTTTTTGTTTTTTTTTTTTTTTTTTTTTTTTTAAGAGAAGAACTTGACCTTGGTAAAATAATAGAATTGTAAAACATCTTGAAATATTCTTACTGGAGATAACTTTTAGGATATGTGATGTGTCTGAACTTGTGCTTTGCTTTAGCTAATTCACTCTGATTTGTATCAACGTAGTGCAAGAAGGTAGTAAAATTTGCATAGGGTTTGCACTATCAGATACACTGGTTTGTTTAGGGTTTTAACAGCATTACAATTTGGCACTTCAGAAACTTTTTATTTTTTCTTGCATTAAGACGGTATTGAATGTACACATCTGTATATTGGAAAAGTACTGTGACTTCTACCAACCACCCTCCTCTTCTTTCTGTTTTAGATGGGTGGCTTATGAGAATCCTGAGTTTACAGGGGAGCAGTATATACTGGCTAAAGGGTTGTATCCCAGCATTGAGGCATGGGGGGGAAAGAATTGCAAAATATCTTCAGTTCAACCCATTGTTATGGTAAGGAGCTAGTTTTATACTTGCTTTGTAAGTTTCTCTGAACTATTTGGAACTCTATTTTTTCTATCAAATTCAGTTTATTTACATTATTTAAACAATAATTAATAGTAAATTTTGTATGTTATTTTATCACTGTTGAAAATATTTTTTCCTTTCTTTCCCCTCCGAACTTTTGCAGGATATTGTTGGAAGCGAAAGGGGTAAAGTCAAGGTAAGATACTTCTCTAAGCACATGAAACACACTGTCTAGTGTCTGTAACATGTAAATAAAGAAGTGGCTGTTTTGTCCAGGGGAGCACTCAGGTGTTTGCATAGATGGCTGACTAGTCAGAGTGAAAACTGCAGGTGGAGGAAGGCTACTTTCCAAACCTCTTGAGTAAGGCACATTAAGACCCAAGGAAGGTGGGATTTGATACACAATTGCCATCAGAACTTTCTTAGGGCACTGGCAATGTCTTGGTTCAGCAAATGAGGTGTTTTGGGGTGTCAGTGATTGTTTTATAGAGCTGGAGCCTGCAGCCCTCTATGCAGAGGTGACGTGAGGCTGTCACTGAGGTGAGGTGAGGCTCTACAACAGAGATGATGTTTTGGTGAGGGCACTACAGGATAGATGTTGTTCTTGGTACAGCTGACTTAATTCCTTGTGAACCTCTTTCTTTGGTTGAGAGTTTTGCTAGTGGTGGTTGCACTTGAAGGGAGTTGTTCACTCACAAATACTGGTGAGTTGTGCTTAAAAGTTAATGCCATCTTTGTCAATAACATAAGGGCAGGGAAATGGCAGGGAAAACTTGTCTGTTCAGCGAGTTAATATATTTCTACACTGGATTGTCTCCTTTGTGCAAGCACTAATATGTAATTTTGACAGTGAGGCTAATGGGCAGCTTTTTTCATCCTTCTTAATTTCTGAACCTTTTCTGGTTTTCAGGTTTGTCCCTGTACAAAGTTATAGCTATTTTTATTTTCATTTCAGTCAAAGCAGTGAGTATATCACAGCCCTAAAAACTAAGACGACAATTCTTAGCTGTCCTGGTTTGCTACTCCTGATTAGTAGCACGCTTCTCTGGAATCTCCTGCATAGGGATAATGCATAAAGTGTGGGGAATAAAAATCTCAAGGCTGCTTATTTTCAGCTGTATGCATGAAAAATTATTTGCATCTTTACATTATGTGCCTGTTAAGACCCTATCCTAAGGAAGACCTTATCCTAAGGAAACAAAGAAGTAGTGGCTTGCAGCCAACAGAGTGCATCCATCGTCAGCGTGCTCCTCTTTGGAGAATGCTGTACCTACCCACACTCCTATCTCTATTAAGAGTGAATAAAGCTGGTAGGCATGTTGTAATGTCAATGACTTCTGTGTGATCATGGCTAATTATCCTCCAGCCAAATTAGCAAGTTTGCTGCTTAGAATTTTTTTTTTTTTTTAATTTTTTAATAAGGCAAAACACTCTAGGGGATGTATCCTCTCTTATCCTTGGAGCAGAGAAACAGCTACAGACACAGTCTCATGTTGGTTCTAACAGGCTCATAAAGCCCTCTACCCTGGGAATATACACCTTGCTTCTTGGCATGCTATCTGAGTCTTTTGCCAGGATTATACATCATTAGTGTTCTGAGAGGCAGAGAGTTTTCATTTACTGAGAAGAGTGTGCATTTTGAAAATTAAGCAGATTGATAATATAAAAGAAAACTTTTTAATGGCCTTTTAATAAAGGTGTGCCTATTCTGGCCACTCTTTGGGAATTTGAACATCTTACCCAGCAGATAGACCAAGAAGCTATACTTGTCATTGTTCTAATTATTTTGTGTGTCACTTAGTGATTTACAGCCAGAAGTAATTTTGGGAGTTATCTTGCTCTCTTGAGCAAGGATTGTAACACTGACGAGGTGCCAAACATAGATAATCAAGGAAGTCTGGGTGTTATAAGTATGTTTTTATATAATTATAGAAATAATGGTAGAAATGTAACTGAAGGTAGAAGAATTAATTTCCTTAAATATGTTTATAACTTTTTAAAGGTCCAGTTATTTTCAGAGCCTGAATTCAAGGGTAACTGCCAAATATTTGAAAAAAACACAGGATGTATTGATTCATTTGCTGTGAAGTCTTCAAAAATTTTAGATGGCAGGTAAGTTACATTGAATGAATACTGCAAAATCACTAAAATGGTAGAAGTTTCAGAAAAGTAACCAGCTTTCTAACACATGAGGTGGTTTCATGTATGGGGACTTACAGAGAACAATGCTTTGCCGTTTGCACATCAGTCTTTCAGGACACAACATTGTAAATAATGCATCTGCATTTTAGTGGCACAGATGTCTTAAGAGGGAACTTCTCCTTCTTTCTGCAGCTGCATAGTGTATGACCAGGAGGAATTCGCCGGTAACCAGTATGTGTTGGAAGAAGGGATCTATCCTGATCTGACAGCAATGGGTTGTTCACCCCAAGCAGTTCTAAAATCTTTACAGATCATAAATATTGTAAGTAAAACCTATTTGAAATATTGTAAGGATAAGGACAATGATGATTCCCCAGTAAAAATTCTAGGGCACACATACAACAGAGGAGGGTTGGGTTTGGTTTGGGGGATGGGGGTTGGTTGGTTTGTTTTGGTTTGGGTTTTTTTCTATGCATTAGTAGTTAAATGTCCTAGCTGCAGTTAGTCAGGTATTTTTGACCTCTGTGCTGTTTTTGTAAAGGAGAAGATGTTACAGAAGCAACTGCCTGGGATGCCTGTTCTTAGTAACAGCTTATAAAAGAACTTCTGTAAAAAGTCAAGTCTCTTTCCCGGTAGGAGAGACCACTTAGAATGGGTTGAGAAGGTGGTAGGACAGTGTGAAGAAATACCTGTACCATGCACCTTGTTTTTGATGCATATTTAAAAAGCAGGCCTAATTAAGCAACTTTACATGAAATACATGTAATTATAAGACACTGTTGTTATCATCAGGACAATGGAATTTGAGTTAATCACAAAATAATGCACCCTTCTAGATAAGGTAAAGCAACACCCAAAGGAATTTGGCAAAATCAGGCCGCGTTGTTATGTGTGGTGGATAAACTACATTTACATATTTTGTAACTCATCAGTGGCCAGGAATGAGTTTGCTCAAGCTTATAACCAGTCATTATGATGGACCGCTTATGAAATCTGCAAGTATCTTTTAAGACCAAAATAGTAACTAGCAAAATGTGGTCAAGATTCCAGGAATGTATGGCAACATGAGGACATGGTACTCGTTTTAAAAAAGGAGGAGTTCACTTTGAATCTCTTTTTTGAATTTGGCAACGTTATTGCACTTCACTGTAATTTTGGTAACCTGTCAGTGGTGTAGCAGTTGATGAAGGAGAGCAGAAATGTGTCATCCTCTTTCATGGCTCTGGAGAATTTTGATGTAAACAAACAACTGCAGCAAGTATGACTGCTTTCTGAACTCTTTGGCTGTCTAGGAGACAGATTCTACTAAAAGCAGTAGAATTGTTTCTAGGCAAGCTTGGTGGGTGATCACTATGAATTAAAATACATATCAATAGTTCCTGGCTTTAAAATGTTTGTTTCATTTCACAGTTCACTAGGGTTTAAGATGCTTATTTCAAGTTGGAAGGATCAGCTTACTTTTAAATTATTTACTATTTGTGACAGAGACTGATGTGTTAAAACAGAAATGCCAGTTCTGGGCTTCTTTAAGTTGTTTACACTTGTAAAACTTGTTCTAGCCCTACATTTTACCACATTTCAGACAGCAGCACAGAGCTGCATCTGTCTGCAAATCATGTGCTGCTGCTTCCTTCTTCAGAGGCTCCCTAGCTGCAGAGAAGAGGAGAATGGGTTACTTTGCTCATTGATTTATTAGCAAACCAGAATAGAAAGAATGATTATTTCTGTCTTACTACTTACATGGTTATTTTTCATGGTTTTCCTAAAGCTTGAGCCTTATTATTTTAGCTCTTGGTTTCACCTGTCAGACATGTTTTAGGACTGTATTTTGGCAGTGCCAATCTTAATTCCTCCCTACCATCTGCCATTTCTGTAGCTTTCCTCGGGATTTTTCATGACATTTCTATACAGGAAGCACCTTTGCTATTTTAATGTCATGTTACTGTATTTATCTATTTAAACACCCCTTTAAAGGGATCATTTTTTGAGGGACCATGAAAAAAAGGAAATTAAAGGGATATTTGATACACTTGTAAGTGAAAGCTAAAAGGGCTTTTTTAAATAAGAGAACTTACGAAACTATATTAAGGGCTGTTTATAAGCTCAAGGGTTTTGGGGGGTTAGATTCCACTATATCCTGCTTGTGCTTGGTTTGCATGTTCTACATAGTTGTGCTGCATATAGAAAATAGCATTTTTCCTTCTTGAATTTGACACATGTTCTTCCTGAGCATACTATAAAAAACAGCTGTGAATGTGGTTTGTACTTGAACAGTCATCTGTAATGAGAAACCCTGTGGAATAACTAAATGTAGATCTGCAGGAACACCAGCTTGGTACAGTGCAGTACACAGGAAGAACTGACAGAAAATTCATGGGCTGACCTTGCACTTGTCACTGTTTTATATTAATGTGTTGCTGCTGAATCAAAAAAAAATGCCCAGTGTAAGGTGTGGCAGAAAATTGGAGGATTTTCTTTTCTGTTTCTGTTTTCTTTGCAAGAAGATTATTTCTAAAGCATTGTATGAGGCTGAAAGGCTGTTGTCTGAGAAGTTGCATGTCTCAGAGGGCAGGTGCCAGTCTGTAAAAGGGCTTAGAGTTCAGAGGCACTGGGATGTCATCACAGTGTGACTGGTCCCGTTGGACTCTTTATCCCTGGTGGTGCATGACAGTCTAACTGATGTTGCTTTTCATGGTGGGGCTGAGCATATTCTGATTTTGCAGTGAAGGAAAAAGGCCTCTCCTGGAATTTTCCACAGCCCAGCAGCATGTGTGCCATCAGGAAGCAGAGCTCAGCTGCTCTGTGATAAGCTGCACAGGTAATGGTGACACTCATGCAACAGCATCATCTGAGCCCTTAAACATCTAAAGGAAGATTAAAGAGGAATGTAAGCACTGTTAGAAATGGGTAGATGGGAGGTCTTGCCTAAGAAATTCACATGGAAGCATGCATATATGAGCTGCCATGCATGCATGGAGCCAGCTCTGCCTTGGAGGGCCTGTTTCCATGCCTGAGGCTGGATGGGAGTTTGTCGAGACTTTGCGTCATGTCAGGCGTTCCCGATCCAGTTGATGTGTGAGAGTGCTGAACACATGCCAGAAGGAAAGAGCTCTTCTGGCTGTGGCATTGGATTTATGCAGTCGTTGGCTGGAAGATTTGTGAGAAAGGGAGTGGCAGTGTCATTTCTGTCTATGAGTGTACACTGTAGCACCAGGACTCTCAGGCTTAATTGACTTTTACCTGGGGAATTTCAAAACTTGCCTCCCAGCTTCCACAGGAAGGCCTTCATTATGACAGGTTATTTTCAGTCAACTACAGATACCTTGCCCCACAGAAAAGAGTCCAAAGTTCCTTTTCCAGAAGACATTCAAATTGGATTCAGTGTTGCAGAGAGCTTCATGTGGGCAGAATCCCTCAGACACCAGAAGCATTTTGACAGAGAAGGAGAAGAATCATCTCCCCACAGCAATTTGGAGGATTCTGATGTTACAGTTTTCACTTGTGGTGAATTTTTACCTCAGTAGTATGAAACTTGAATCTTTTGTCTAGTCAGAGATTGAAGTTGCCGTAACCTACTGTAAAAGTTAAAAATTAACACAATAAGTGATAAGCAATGCTGACAAGGCTGTCATCATTTGAAGCTGTAGAAATCAATATTATCTTACTGTCTGTTCAGCTCTTTGTATGAAAATTCCCACGAGTGGGGGTTAGTGCAATGGAAGAGAGATATGGCATTGATTAAAATGTATTTTAAAACATACTTAAGGTATTGTGCAAGAACCAACCACAGAGGTCTTTGTGCCTGAAGATAAGGAAGCTTTAAGTTCCATGCAAGCAGATCCCTCGTGTATTTTGTATAAGGGTTTTTTATGACTTTTCAAGTTTAATTAGAGAGTTGAAGAGCAGAAACATTCAGGGTTTTTGATCTTAAACCATCAAGAAGAAACCTCTGAAATAAAAGGGGTATGTGGAGTACTGATATTCACAGTTACCATCTGGAATTCCAACATCCTATAAAAGCACTTATCTTCCTTTTGCAGGAGCTGTCTGAGCCCTGCATAACTCTTTTTGAAAAGACGGGTTTCCAAGGAAAGAAAATTGAGTTCAGTACAGAAATCTTAAATCTTCAGTTCCTGGGATACAATCCTCGAATAGCTTCAGTTCAAGTCCTTGGTGGCATGTAAGTTTAAAATCACCTTTTGATTCTTTAGAATGAAGTACTTACTCAACTTTACAGGTGTAATGGAACCACAGAATGTAAAACTAGAATATCATAATGTGTGTACTGCATTAATGCCATTTCATCTTACAGAGTATTTTCATATCCTGTCTCAACAATATGTTATCACTGACTGATGTCCATTGCTAGGATTTGAAATGAATTTGAATAAAGCTCTCATGTCTTCTCTCATGCCATATTATAAAAATCAGCTTGGATAGCATCCTTAAAACCAACTTCTTGTGCTCTTGGTTTGTGATCTGTGTCATAAGTTCAAAATTTTTTTAATAAGTCTTCATGGTCATCCTTTAACTTTTTAACTTCTGCTATGGACACGGAGGTACAATCAGACCATGATTTCGCCTCTGTTGATGTTAGTAGTAATAGTCCCTTTTACTTCAGGAATGGAAGGAGAATCTAGCAGTTAGATTTGGTAGGTGTTTTTAAGCAGTTGTGTTCACTAAATGTACCCTTGAAGATCATGTAAAAAATACTCTCTGATGAAGTTGAAGAGCTGTTTGGAAGCATTTTTAAAACTATTGTCAGATATTCTAGGATTCCAGCAGATCTGTTAAATTCTCTTTTTGTTTTTTTCCCTGTTGTTAACTTCTACCTCTAAGATACTTGCCCCCAGTTTTGGTGGTTTTTGTAGTTTGGGGTTTTTATGATAGATCCACGTTACTGTTGCTTTGCACATAAATGTCTTCTTTTGAAGAGGCAAATTTCCAAGGTGTGTGCTAAAGAGATGCTGGTGGATAGCTGAAGACTGCCCTCAAGTGGATAGCTAATAACCAAATCTGTAGACCAAATAATTTTCCCCATCTGGATAAGATGGTCAAAGGGTTTTCTTAGCACACTGAACTGAGCTTTGAAACAAAGGTTGTAAGAAAAGGTACATGTTTATATTGTGAAGTTTCCAAAGGTTTCAGTATCTTTCACCATAACCACAATAGTTGATTCTCACTTTCCATAACATGAAGTCAAACATCAAGTTACTTCTTTGCCAATATCATGATTCCAGGTAATGGAATGGTGAATTGTGTCTGTTTCCTGTCCAATGAATATATGGGTGGGTTTTTTTTTTTTTTGGTGGATCACCAGAAACATAGAATATGATATGAAAATTTGAATTTCATTGTAGCAGTGTCAGCTGCTGAAATGTATCAAAATACAGGGTTTACAGCTTCCTTGCCCCTGCTGCCTCCGTTATGGAAGACTATTTCATCTTCACTTCCTTTGCTAAGAGACCTCCATTTATAATTCCTGGAGATAGATGTGTATTAGGCAGTGAAAAAGCACCAAAATTAAAGTGAGTTTACTTCTGGATGGAGAAGTCTGGTGACAAATCAGTCAGAGGAGGGAGCATATTGAGTGTTCATGTACTCAAACCCCCATGGCTACTGGACAGTCCCAGCATATCACTGTGAGAGGACTCTAGAAATTGCACTGTATGGCAGCCTGTTTTGAAGCCCAGACATAATTCACTGGCTGTGCCAATAATAGAGAATCAGAAGTTGGGTTCTGACAGATGACACTCAATGTGTGATTTTAAGTGTAGCTGGATGCGTGTTAGGGAATGCTAAACAAATTTTTTCGATGTGCATTCTTGCTCTGTCTCTTCCCCACCCCCCTTGCAGGTATTTGGAAAGAAGAGAGATGTTATGAAATAAAACCTCTATCAAAATACCCAAGAGAACTTCACTCTGTTGCAGTTTCCAGTGTTTGCTTGTTCCAGTCTGTATCCATAGAGTTCTTTCTCACATGAACCAGGCCTGTCCAAATTCAGATACACAAACCAGCCGGTGCTGCACCTGCAGCAATGTAGCATTTAATACATATAGATCTATGCTCCTTGAGGAGTCACAGTGCCTCCTGAAAACAAATGGTATTTAAAAGCTGGGTTCTCCCAAGAAAATGCTTTGCTTCATTCAGCTTGTAATTTTTAAATAATAGGACTCTAAAATTAGAACTCCTGTGTACCCATCTCAGTGTGGCTGACCTAAATCAGGATGTTATTTTATTATTTTTAAGGCCTGTTACAAAGAAGCTAATTGGCTTTCCAAAGCTAAACACTGCTATGTTGTGGGACAGATTTCTATTAAACTCATTTATTGATTCCAAAGCAGAATTTGACAGTTAAAATATCGTCTTATTTTTTCTCCTCACAGATGGATAATTTATGAACACAGTAATTACAGGGGACGTCAGATGTTGTTAACACCAAATGAAATTCCAGACTGGTATAAAGCCAGTGGCTTTTGTCAGATAGGTTCTCTGAGACCTTTACTGCAGGTGAGTGGGCTTTGACATGAGCTCATCAAGTACTAATTTATATCTTGTCATGGGGAGATATTATGCAGCTGTAAGCAGCATTACAGCCTTGTCACAGGCACGTGACAAACTTCAGCATGGGCAATTGTGTAAAGAAATCCAGAGTTTTGTGTATAATAAAAGCTGTTTGAATATGCTACATGGCTTTGCAGTTACATGGCTTAAACTGTTAATTAAGCATCCTTTAAACCGACGTACAGAAGACAGCATATAAGGATTAATTAAGGATTACTAAATTATGGCTATAACTGCTGTATATAAATGATTTAAAGTTGTTTCATAACTAGAACCCAGACTGGTTGCTGGCATACTGTCTATACTATCTGCATTATTTATGGAACAACAAGAAAATTGGTTAAAAAAAAGATACTTCAGTGAATAGTGATTTTGTGTTGGTTTAAGAGGAAAAGTCCCTCTCTGCTTATTACTTGGCAGAATAATTTGCAAATCTAATGCAAAATTTATTCTTGTCATGCACTCTTAATTTTGTTCTATAAATGTTTTTGTTCTATAAATATGTATAATATTTGTTCCATATGATCTTGAGCAAAGGTGTGGCAGTCCTGCGAGCTTTAACATTTGAGTTCTTGCTGGGCCATATTTCATAGGAGAAACAACTTTTTCTAATTCATAGGTTACTTGTACCTGTAACCAGCTTCATTTGTTTGCTGTCATGGCTTTGTCTTTGTATAGCCTTAGGCAGAATTAGGAATAATGCATTTTCACTGCCCTGCTGAGAGCTTGTCTGAACAGAAGTGTTCATGTGTAAGAGGCCACACAAGTGCACCCTTAATGAAACCCAAGAGCATATATGGAATGGAATTAGCAGAGAGAAGTTATTATGCTCTGCATTAAAAAATTTTAGTTTTCCACTGTGTGCTGATTTCAGTGCATAGGAAAGCCTAAAGCCCTCCATGCTGAGTGGTGAGTTCTCAAGCTTGTCTTGTCCCAATGTTTATGGGCTTCTGAATTACATTCTCAAATTAAGAAGTTAAGCTTTCAGAAAGAAAGAGGGAGGTTTGGGGTTCAGCACTGACAGTAACTGCTCTGAAGTTAACTGAGAGCAGGATGTGTTCACTGCTGAGATTGTGGTTAAAGAGTTCTTTTGTTTTGTGCAGAAACGTGTGTACTTCAGGCTTCGAAACAAGGAAACAGGAAAATTCATGTCAGCTGATGGCAACCTAGATAATCTGAATCTTCTCAGAATACAGGTTGCAGAAGATACAGACTCAGATGATCAAATCTGGGTTTATCAGGATGGATTCATAAGGTGTCGGGTAAGGTTTGAGTTCAATGTGCATTTTCTCTTCCTCTCCAGTAGTAGGGCTTTATGAATTTAATTCCTACTGCAGCATCTTCATTCATTTTATGGGCTTAATCTGTTTCAACTATAATGTAATCCTTCTGTAGGGAGTTGGTTTTTGTGGGTTTTGTTTTGATTTGCTTTAGTCAACTCTGGCTTTTTCAAGTGATATAAACTAGTTGTATGATACTTTTTTGATATAATGGAAATTTTGAGAGAAAGTATTGCAAAAGTATCAAAGCAGGGGAGACCCTTCCTGATAATATTTTGAAGGATGCATACCTTGCAGTAGGACAGTTAGTGTAATGTAGGTTGGTATTTGTACCAGTTTAGAGCAAATTTGGGAGGAAACAGACAGTTAAAAATATAAACATCATAAAGTCACCCTAGGACAATATCCTCTTGTGCATTTAGGCAAGCTTAAAGATAAATCCCACTCTTTTGAGCCATTTAGGGGTGGGGTTTTTTTTCCTTTTGTTTAGGGTTTTTTTTGTTTGTTTTCTGGTTATCCTTGTATTTGTCAAATCCATCATTTCTCCTTTCTTCTGTACAAGTTTCCAAATGAAGCCATACTTTTCTCACAGTCCATAAAACTAATCATGTGCAAATTGTCATTGAGGTGAGCAGAGGTATGCACAGTTCATATAATGTTTAAGCATGAACAGTCTTTGGTAGGGATGCCAGCCAAAAGAAAATTAAGTTGCTTTAATACTGTTAAACAGCTTGACTGCAAAGAATCATGTGAACTTTTTCTATAGGATTGTATAACTTCAAAGAAGCCATTTATAACTATGTCATCTATGCTGGAGGGAAGAATCTTACTGTTAATAAGCTAAGGCATTGTTCGGACATGTTTACAGGACACATGCAGTTGTAAAAGGGATTTATGCAGACAGCAAAATGATGCAAAGTAAGCTAAAAGCTTTAATATGGCATACAAAAGACTTCTCTTTTGATGGTGCTTCTCAAACATGTCAACAAGTTTTCATATTGAGACAGTGTGGTATTATATGGCTTTGGATAAATGCTCCTGGGTTTTGCCATTTTTCTGTATCTCATAAAGCAATTTTTCTGTGCACAGAAAATACACAGCTTATGCTGTATAGCAATCAGGTAGCTTAGTGCAGAGTGCAAGCTGGCAACATTGATCTTAAGTGACTGAACTCTTACAGAGTTCTGTCATCTTTCTGGTGAATGGTAGTAAATCCATTTTGCACAAACCAGAAATTGGGTTTTACCACATATTACAAAGAAAACTGAGCTCCTGGGTGGGTAGCTACCTGCACGGAGGCAGACATAGGTCACTGGAAGAACCTGCACCTTCCTGTAAGCTGGGGTCATCTCAGTGACTGAGTCATGAGATGTGACCTTGAGCTGTGCCTGGGGTTTTCAAGGAAGGGCTGTTTTAAGTATGTGGGATAACCAGTAAGCAAGATATGAAAGTCATTCTGCTCTTTTTTGAGAAATAGATATGAGTGCAGGTCTCCTTACTCTTCATGAGTTTCATGGAGACGGGTGAATTTCTAGTCTAGTGGACCTAATGTCTAACCTCAGAGTTTTCCTTGTCTCACTAGAGAACGCTTCAGATACAAGTGAGAATTTCACAACCAAATCAACTTTCTTTAATTCTAGGTTATGATAGTCAGAAGTATGACTTTCTCAAGACAAAGTGCTTTTAAAAGTACTTGTAAAATAATTTAGGGCCATTTCAACAATGACAGATGAGTGTTCAATCTGCCACAGAAGTGCATTCAGTAGTTAAAAGGCGCAGTTTATGATGATCTACTGAAAATCACTGTTTATCTAGAAAAATTGACTGTTACTTAGTAATACAGCCTTAACACTCTTTTGAAATAAGCTTGATTTTCGCCAGCTCTTTTTTTAACCAAGAAGACATTTGCAGATGTTTGAAATCAAGTTATACAAGTGACTAGGAAAAGAGTGTAGAAGAAATAAGCAAATATTACTGTGATACCCTGTGAAATTCGTACACTTGATACTGTGCAGTTATGTCCTCTTTATGAAAAGGTTATATGCAAAACTAGAAATATTTGGGAAAAAAAAATATGTTCAGAAGAAATGGAGAGCTTCTATGCAAGGAAGAGACAAAATAGCGAGGACATTTTAGCCTACAAAGGGTACACTCTGAGTGATGATGTGCTTAAAGTCTCTGCAAACATTATGCTTTAAAATAATCAAGGAATGAGGAGAGCATCAAATAAAACTAGTTGCATATCAAATTATGTTTAATTTGGTAGTTAGGATTATGTTTATTATGTAATTATGTTTAATGGTAGTTAGGATTTAGAACTGCTTGCCACAGTATGGAAGGGTTACATTACAATACACAAGGGTGTTCACATTAAAGGGTTACTCTGATCTTGGTGGGTAGTGACTAAAAATTCACACATGGGACAGAAAATGAGCATTAAAGATTTTGGGATGCATGGAAAAGTCTCTGGGCTGGCCGAGCCTGGAAGAGATAACCACGAACATACTTCATACAAGAGTACTGTCAATGTAATCTTCCATGGTACCAATGTAATTTTCAGTTACTGGCCACTGCTATAGACAGGTGCAAATTGTTCCTTTTGATCTGATACACCATAGTTATTTTAATGTTCCCATGTAGTGGAGAGTGTCAGCACAAACAGGAAAAAAAGAAAGATGAGTCTTGAGTTTTGGGCAAAAATAGATTCCTGGAGGGAAAGTCATTCCCTCTGATTTGATAAAAAAAACCAGTGAACAGTAGAAGTAAAGCCATTCTGAGTAATTGCTGTTGCCTTTCTAATGACACAGATGGCAGAGGATTGCTGCTTGACAATTGTTGGAAATCTTATAACTCCTGGCTCTAAACTCGGTCTGTCATTTGAGCGGAATGAAGACAAACAATATTGGCATATTAGTCCCGATGGCAGAATTTATAGCAAGATGAAACCCAAGCTGGTTTTAGATATCAAAGGTAAGCAAATGTTATCTCATTACATTGGGTCTTAATTACATGGTATTTGCAGTGGGATACACACTAAATGTGCCTATAAATTAGGAAGGAGCTTTAGTTGCTTTAATCTAGAAGCAAAAAAGACCCGATCAGCTAGTTTGACCTCCTGAATTATACAGGCCCTAAGACTTCATTTCATTTCTCCTACATACAATTTAGTAACCCACAGTACTTGCTTATCTTGTATTCTCAGTGTCCAGTCGCTGTAGATAGCCTCAGTTAATTTCTGGGCAATGTGAATATGATTATTTAAAATGGTGAAGTAAGAACAACCTAACTTTTCATTAACTTTAATTTCTGTAAGTGCAAATTTTCTTAAATAGTAGTTGTTGATGCAATAGCCAAAGGATGTTAGGAAAGCAAAGGCAGACTTGTGCACTGATATGATTAGATGCAAAAAGATGAGGTTCTTTTTTTTATTAATGGTATGCCTATATGGCAAGCGTGAGATTCTGCCATAGCAGCCTGGGGTCCGTGAGCAATTGATGTGTATTTTGGAGTCACTTTTGTCATAGTAATTTGATTTGTGTAGATACTATTTCTGAACTTTGTTTTCCAAGCTTCACAGAAAGTGTAAAAAAGTGGCAATCTGAATGATTAGCACAATTAGCATAATCAGATCGTCTTATATAACTGCTTTTTTGGGTGAAGGGAGTAAACATTTTCTGGATCTGTTCTATTATTTTTTTAACTGTTTTAAGATTGATTATAAATTGATACTGTGACATTAATGATGTCAATTACAACCACCACTATCTCCCAAAAAACCCAAACCAACCAGAAAAATAACACAGTCAACAGTCAGCACTTTAGAACTAAACAGGACTGAACACTGGAATCACAGAATATCCTGAGCTGGAAGGGACCTATAAGGATCATCAAAGCCAACTCCTGGCCCTGTATGGGACACCCCAAGAGTCACACCATGTGCCCAAGAGCATTGTCCAAAAGCTTCTTCAACTCTATCAGGCTTGGTGCTGTGACCACTTTCCTGGGGAGCCTGTTCCAAACAAGTAGAAATACTATAGCATTGCCTTTTCTTCAGTTAATCATGTTAAAAGCAATTATGTATTCTGCATTTATAATTGAAGAACTTTACAATGGATAGGCCTGGTGGTGGGAGTACAGATGCACTCTTAGCTTTAAAACAAAGTACATCTGTACAGTAAATACAAAACAGTAGATACATTTAGCTTTCAGTAAATGTAAATGTAGTTTAGCTTTTTTTTTTTGAGAAAGCCTAGTAAGAACATTGCCTGTTTCTGCCTACTCTGCCGATCCATTCTGGACCACAAACTGTGCGTTAAAGAATTCCTCAGCAAATGAATGCAGTTGTGTAACTGTGCAGTTGCCAATGCCACCTTGTGGATAAACTGCTATAGCACAAAGCCTTGTCCAGAGCACCATGCTATCAAAGTAAATAGTCTCTCTATCCACTAACAAAACCATCCCAGCTTACCCCATCTTAACACGTTTACATTCTATCAGACACCACTTAAAATTTTTTTTGCACTCACAGTGATAACTGAGCTACAAAAAATAATATTAGCTGTAAAGGTCAGTATCTTACATTCATCATAAGCTTTCAGCTGCCAGGCTTGTCTTTTGCTCAGTCAGGTGAGGCAATGGGGGTGCAGAACAAAAAGACAGTGTCCATGGAAGTGTCCTGGTGCTTTGTATAAATGGTTTGCACAGATGGCTACTTCCAGTGGGAATACCACCTGCTCTGCAGGTGTGTTGTACTGCAGGAAATGCACGTGTCCTACATTTCTGCAGTACATACTAGATCTGAGGGAAAAAAACATCAATTCTGACTTTCAGCTTCAGTCAAATGTGTCATTGCTTTCCAGTTTCCTAAGTTAGAATATTAATGGTGCTCTTCTATGAGAACATACTTGGCATTGTACCACGTAAGGAGATTAAGCTCTTCTAAGAAATGTTTCTATTTTGCATTCAGATATGTTCAGCTGCCAGTTTTGCATTCAGATACGTTCAGCTGCTACTGGAAACAGCCGAACATTGGGTGATACATTGTGCATGATGAATTGTGATTCATCTGGTCAAAATAAAGGATTATAATGGCAAGGAGTAAACGAGTGCCAGACCTTGTCTCTGACTTGGTCACGTGTGTATTGTCTGGTAGCAGAAGGACTTACTTCATCATCTAAACATCTTCACTCTGTTTTTAGAGCCAAGTGACAATTGACAATTGTTGCAGGAAAACTGAATAGTCAGGCATGACTTTAGGGAAGTGACAGTCTTCAAGGAGCTGCACCTGACTGTACTGCAGTGTTTCTTTCCTTTTCCATCCAGGCTGAAACAGCTGAGAAACTGAATTGCTAAAGGGGTGGAGAGAATAAGGCAGACTGATCTTGTTTCATTCAAAAACTGTTTCAAAAATAAATTCCAAAAGCAGGCAGTGATGAAAATACGTTTGTCTTCTCAGAGCTATGGGTCAAAGAGAAATTGTCTACACCAGCACTTACTAGAGCTTTTCTGAAACCTAGAGTATTTTTCTCTTATTTCAAAGAGACAAATTTAACCTCCCTACTTTGACATTTCTCTTACAGGAGGCACACAGTATGACTGCGACCATGTTGTTGTCAACACAGTCAGTGAAGAAAAGTTAACACAATGTTGGGAACCACTGGTTGTGTAAACCCAGTGAAGCAAAGACGACATTTGAATTGGCCACTATTCTGGACACTGCAATTGGCACTGCCATCTCTGAAGGATACAGGATCAACGAAGAGAGTTTTGTCTTTTCTTCACAATTTTAAAAAGAACAAGCAACAGAATTATTTCACCTCCCTATCCAAGATTATTTTCCCTATAAAAACTTGAGTATGTCAAAATCTTCCTTTTTTTTTTTTTGTTTTTAAATCCTTACAATTCAGTGTTGGATAGAGATTTGGCAGTATGCCTCAGGCTAGAAGGGAACAACTGAAAGAGACCCCGTGGAGTTACAATCATGTCAGCGAGTAGTTAACCCAGAATAGTCAGTAAATGCAACTTCTTTTATAAAGGACAGGAGTGCAGTGTGTATGTGGGTATAGCAACTTGGACCTATGGCTGTAGTATAGAGAAATATTCACTACGGGAAATTAATATATTTGGTTCACTGGAACAAACTTGTGTTTACTGAAAATTTAAAGACTGCTAGTACAGCTCATCCAAAGACATTTTAACATGTGGCTTCAAGTATAGTTAGTATGCTAATATATTAAGTCCTAAATTAAGAAAAAAATCTAGATTTTTTTCATGTATAGAGGATGTAAAGTAGCAGATATTTTGTTAGAAAAAGAGAGGTCTGGCAAAAGGATGCATTAGAATGTGAAGAATTTGCCCATTTTCTAGGCTGCCTAACTTCTTGAGTTGTGGGTATTTTTCTTCTTTCCAAAGCCGTATTTGTACCTTCTAAAACCGTTTCAGTAAGCAGAGTCTTACTGAACTCCGAAATCATACAGGAAACAAGAATTCTTAGGGAAAGAATTACTAAAGATGACTGCAAAAGCCTGTCAGCACTGTGGTTACTGAGTTTTCCAGCCACTGTCTGTTGGGCTTACCATGGAGAATGCCCAGCTCCCCAATATTTCTGGAGATGTTGAAAAGCAATGTTAGTGGTGGGCTCCTGGCTCCCCGTTGGACAGAAGCGTCAGACTCCTCTAGGAAGGGGCACAGCCAAGCCTGGATACATGCCCAGCCACAAGGGCTGTGCCCATTCCAAGTAAGTGTTACTGGTTTAGTAAAGAGCTTGTGACATGCAGGATGTTCGGATGAGTGCAGGAGGTCCTTCTGTTGCTCTGCTTTGAACCTGGCCATGTTAGTTTTTCTTAATAATATTGGCAAAAAGGTAAAATACAAACTCTGGTACTATGCTGCTGTGTTTTGTTCTGGCTTAGACCAGTGTTATTACAAGCTGCTCCGAGGAGAATCCAGGCCTTTGTATTGCGTAGTAAATCTGTTTAAAATTAACATTTTCATTACTATTGTATTGCCTCAAAGGATACTGGTGCTTTTGCTATTAGCACCCTAGAGGAAGTGCCTTACTAATTTTCTTCCTTTTGTAAAGATGCACCGAAGTTTTGTTGCTCTGAAATGTGCTGCTTTTAGTCCTTAATAGAAAATATGATGTTACTGGTTCCAAACAGTGGTACTTTGTCATATTGATGTGCTCTTGCTATATAAAATATAGCATTTTACAAATAAATATAAGTTAGGTAACGTTTTTATTGAAATTCTTTTTAAAGGTAGAAAAGGGACATTTTATGATTAGTTTTGCTTTCATCTTGTGCCCATCTCTGTCCATAATTCCTCTCCAACAGCCAGCCCCGGAGGAGTGAACACAGTGGAATAGTGCAGGTTCTGAGGAATGGGTGATTCTTCTATGCAAGAAGAATCTTCTGCACATGTTTGTACACATATTTGTGTAAACATTTGGGCCAGTATTCACCCAGCTGCAAACTTCTGTCCCCTGGTGGAAGCACTGCATGACATGGTTTGTGCATCACCACAGCTGCACTGCAGTAAATGCACAGCTTTCACTTAACAAGTTGCCACTTTCCTTCAATCCACCTGCATAATTGCAGGGGAAGTTACTCCATAGCCCATGTCTGGCAAAATGGCAAGCTGAGAAACAGCCCACCAGACACAAACACCCCCTCCAGCGCTTCACCAGCACTGATGAGACAGAGCAGGAACAGGGACACAAAATTGTGCCCACCTACCTGCACATACACTGCAGTCAGCTGAATCTGGGCCAGGAGTTGAGTTACAGATTGATTTTGTTCCATGCTTCTATTTAGATTGGCTATGTCATGAGAGAGTTGCCCTAACAAGATCAAAGTATCAGTCTTGAGACAGTAATGTGACCATTTAGTTCTAAGAATGAAATAGCCTGACAACTAATCTGCATTAGTGAAGGTCAACAGAAGTAGGAAAACCAAGTTAAAACAGCACAGGTTTCATGTAGACAAGTAGATAAGAGAGTGCCTCACCATTTCAGAACTCACACCTGAAAAATGAAAGCTCCAAGATACACAAAAGGAAAATGCTGCAGACTGTTCCTCGTATCCTAAGAGTGAGGGGTGTTCTGCAAAGGCCACAACTACATTTTTAACATGGTTTTAAGGTAGAAATGCTTAAGAGACATTAGTATGTCTTGTCTGCTTTTTAACAGGCGGCATATGAAGGAATCAGAGGCTTTTCTAAAACAAGAGTTACAAGTTATGCATCCCGTATGAGCTTTTAAAAAAGAAACACTCACTACATACCAATTAATGTTCAAGGACTGACTGCAGGCAGAATAATGATTAGAGATACTTTATTGTCTACTAATTACATTGATCACTGTTTTTCCACGTGCATGTCCTCCTTCCAACTTCAGAAAGGCCTCTGGAACTTCAGAAAATGGGAAGACTTCATCAATAACTGGTTGAATCTAATAAAGAAAAAATGTCACTATATTAGGAATAAAGTATTAAGTAATGTATCACCCTCACACTTCAAAACTGTATGAAGAAGTGGGGGAGGTTTCTTTATGGTATTTAGGACAGAACTTGCCATGTAGCCACTAGCTTTTAAGATTTTTCAGGGATACCTCTGCATCCAGAAGAAGGTTTTCTGCTGCTCTTTGTCTGTGTTTTGAAACACCTCTACTTTGGAGCCCTAACCTGGGTCCTCTCCCACTAATGCCACCACATAAGGCTCTAACTTCTATATTCTTTCAAAAACTACACTGTGGTTTAACTTTTTATTGTCCACAATGATACACTTACAGAAAAAAACATTTTTTTTGTCTTATATTTCTCAACTTGTTTTCTTGTTATACTCAAGAATTCTCACAGTGTCAGATATTTTAAAGATACCGATAAATCGGAAGCCTGTCTGCATCAGTACATGGGTCAGTACCCTCAAAACACCACAAATGAAGTACAAAAAAATGTCCACCAATGTTTGCTGCTGAATCAGTAACTACACTTGAAAATTCAGCCACTGTGTATTCCAGGAGGCATAAATCATTATGAAGCCCAGCTTGCATCAACTGCTATTTTGACATTAATTTTGTAGAGTGGCCTTCTGGATTGTTTTAGACTCATTTCTAACAACAGTGAAACTACTTATTCACTCTCCCCATTATTAACTAAGGAGCCTGAAACCCCTATAAGCATTTTCTTTAGATGCCACAGTGTACCAACAGAAGAAATTCCAGCTCTTCTGAAAAATATTTGTCACTGCTGGTCCAAAGGAAGAGGTGATTTTCTACTGTCACGTTCTGAGTCAGCATTCCAAATGCCAAAAAAAATTTGTCTACAGAAGTACCTTTCACACCTCCTACCAAAGATCTGCCTACCCTGAGGTTGGTCCTTTACCTTGGATCCTGTAACACCAGCCCAGTGCATGTCTTTACACTGATCCTAATCCTTTTATCAGAGGAAAAAAATCACCAGTTCACGAGTCTGCAGCTAGCACTTGCAGTGATGAAGATCCAAAGATCCAAACACATTATTTACAGTGCTAGAAGAAGATCCTTTTCACTTGTGTCAGGGGAAAAAGTATCTACTGCATTTTCTTTATAGCTGTGAGCATGCAGCCTCTCTTGTTGAATAAGCCAGAACTGGTAATTTAATCTTTCCTAGCAACAGAGCCAACCACCCAGCACCCTCCCCAACAGCACAACAAATGCTCTCTGATAGCTGTCTGTGCTCAGGGAGGTCCTTTTCTTAGGTCTCCTAATTTCCTCTTAATTTATACACTGTGCCTTACTTTGATGTCCACTCCTTGCACTTAAATAACTACTGGCTTTGCTTGTATGATAACAGGAATCCAAGACATCAGTACTCTAACTTGCACCACATCAATCACTAGATTTTCCTTTTTATTTTGTCATAGCAAGCTTAGCCATAGTGCGAAACTTTACATGGCAGAAAATCAGGAATGAATGAACCTCCTCCAAAGAATGCATTAGAATTTGCAGACAAATCACTTTGAGAGCAATGTGCAAAAACATAACGTCACCAAATCACCAAGTGCCTCAAAGTTGCCATGTAGCAAGGTACAAGGCTTAGTAATTTTTTTCTCTTGTCTGCCTGGACAGTGTCTGTAAACCAGCCCCTAGCAAAGTGAGTAGCAACACACAGCAGAGGAGCCACAAAGGTAGCCCAACTGTGGAAGAAATGTTGGGTATAAATGATCATGTTCAAGACAAACTCATATCTGGTCAGCATTCAGCACAGAATGGAAATGTTGTCTTGGCCATCAGCAAAATCAGAGACATGGACTCAAGGCAGCAAAAACACTGAATTAGACAATGGTTTGGGGTAAACTGAGCATCTGAGTGCAGCTGCAGCTGCTGTGACCATCAGCAGGAGGAGCGTGCTGCTGATCAGTACGGACTGTTTAGAGGAAGACTAACCCTTGCTTTCATAGCAGATGCTTGGGAAAACACAATTCAGGAACTTTGTTGAGCCAAGCACTTGTACAGTACTTATTGTTAGTGGCAGTTGTGTACAAAGCTGTGCTTCAATTAAGAGGGAAAAAAGGGAAACAGAAACCCAGCCTGCTGATGCATGGACACAGATGACCCTGACAAGGCAATAGGCTAGGAGAGAGGAAAAGTATTCAGGGAAGAAAGCAGAGCAGCAGCACATGAGATGTGAT